TTATTGCAAATTAGATATTGTGAAAATTAACAAACTAGTTAATGTTTTTATATCTATCTACCTTCACGTAGTGCTTTCGGCCATTAATTAAGAATTATTTAGTAATCTATTTTTAATCGAAGGTACTAAACTGCTACATCGTTTTAATAAAAAATCATAATTATTTTCTGAATCATAACATCTTAGATCAATATTAATTTAATTAGCTTGTACTTTACTTTGCTTGAAACTCATGAAAAACTTTGTCCATACAAGAATTTCCTTTGTAATATCTACGTGCAAAAGACACCTTTCCGTCCACCGATAAGAAACAACAGTTTCAAGTATCCCCGCTCCGCTGTAGTGTCCGGCTATCAGTTAGCGTCAGTTGTTATTCGCTGAAAACTCAAAAACTTCCAAAGCCATTTAAACTCAATCCGGGGCCAAACTGTAGGAGTATTTATCTTCGGGGAGTCGATTTAAAAGCAAAATCACGCGAGCACACGACGCCATTATCGGGAGGCACGCTCCGCAGGCCGCGGCAACTCTATGAATCTAATCCGGAGGATTTAGCCTGATTTACAGCCAGCCGAGGGCACGGCTGCTCAAAAGAAAAGTGATAATGTCTTAATCCCACCATACTCGAGTTTCTCCCGTCTCCAAATTTTATGGGCTCCCGCCCAGACGGCACGTTTTGATTTATGGTTTCAATAATTAAGAATTCTAAGGTGCAATTTGAATTTGCGATCTTGAGGGGCCGCGGGAGGCTGACGCGTGTTTGTTATTGCTCCCGGACGAAAGGGTCCAGGTTTTACGGCTTACCTTTCATTTTCTGAGGCATTACGCGGTCTTGCGGAAAGATGATTTGTGTTTTGCCTATTTAAATTTTACTTTGGAATTACATTATTGATCCATTACTACAGTTTTATTCAAATAATATATGAAAGCAGTATACTTTGACAGCACGATGTCTCGTAGATATCGTTATACAAGCCAGCCTATTTTTCGTGCATACCAGCTGTAGGTTGATAAACAAAAAGAAATTGTAAAGTAAATATATGTTGTAAAAAAAATCGGCAACAAAAAATATTTTGCTTTTAGGCATGATATTATCTTAGCTATCCCGTGTCGCTAATACGGGTGGGCGTTTTTAGAATAACGATGCACGATAACGATACCTGGTTTGGATGCGAGCATCCGATGCAACTGGGTACCGTTATTGGATGCCGATGACATCTCGTTTCTGTCAACGTTACCATAGCTACAGTGTCCCAAACTTATCTGTGCCGGAGATGGAGATGTCTTTAGCAGTGAACAAATATGTCATAAAAATAACAAAATGTTATAGATAAATTGTAGTTCAAATTTTTGCCACCGGCACAGAAAAGTTTGTGGCACTGGACTGCGTTCAAAACCTCTTTGTGCTTTTTCGTTTTGCGTTTCGAACGCTCTGAGTGTAACTTTTTAAAGTAAATAGTTTCGATTACATTTTCAGGTCATGATTCATAAATCGAAGATACACACGCACACACAAAACACGCTTCTGTCGTAATTCGTATCGCATCGCATCCTGTGATGTTTCGATACTAGCTAGACTGACATTCACTTGGCACCGATACCGGCATCGATGCGCGCATCGGATGCAATTCATCTGATATCGCTGCACATAGGTTGCGCAAATATCTAAGAACGCCCACCGCTAGTCGCTAATATTATATACTACGCTGACCAAAGCCTAAAATTCTGTATTTCATTACGATACTTTAACCATGATTCTACAGCACTTACAAAACTATCGGACACATTAAGTGAAATTATCTACTCCTACTTACGTAGTCATGTTGTCATGGAAACATACGCTAAACTTTCAACATACATAAACATTTAAAATTGAACATATGAGTAACATAGCGTCCAACCAAAACACATTATGTGCCTACCTTAAATCCTAATCAAACGCCCAGCTATTACCATATGCATGTCTACAAGACGCGTTCGGAATACAAAGCAGTCACGACCCGTCTTCCCATAATCCAGCGGGTATCCTTATATCGCGGCCTAATCTGGGCATTACAATTAACGCGGCCCCAGATAACCCGCCACTCGCCACCCGACCGAGGCCCATGAGCACTGCTTAAACCGGTTAAGCATCCGCGCCCTCAGGGTTTATCTAATTACCCTACACCAACACAAACCAAAACGCGAACTCGAAACGTGTAGTGATGTGCCAAACTAGGACTGCGAAAACTATAATGAAGATTGCGAATGAAATGAGATCATGGATAAAACAGAAAAATATTACAATACAGATGTTTAAACTTAAAGTTTAGCACTGCACTTCATACAAAGTTAACATAATGTGGACTTTGATACAATAATTGTATGTTAAAAACAAACAAACCATACAAACTCAAGCACAGTTCACGCGCGCGCTGAAAACTTTTTTTTATTATTACTGTTAGAAGAGCTCCATGGTGCAGGTGGTTAGCGCATTCGGGCTGCGATCGTAAAAGTTAAGCAAGTTTCGCTATTGTCGGTTATTGGATAGGTGACCAAAACTTATTATCTCAAGATCCTCCGTGCTTCGGAAGTCACGTTAAGCCGTTGGTCACGGCTGCATCTTCAGTCGCTAGCATCCACCAACCAAATCTTCCTATTCCATTCATAGGGAAGGCCTGTGATCTAGCAGTGGGGACATAAATAGGCTGGTGATAATGATGATGTTTATTTTTCTATCCTCCTAGGTAAGGCGTAGGCGGGTGCATGTGTAATCCTCATACATATCCCACAGCCGGCTGCAGGGCTATGTTGGGCACTTATTGACTAAAACACACCCGTGGTCATGCCTTTGGCCATTAGAACCTTACAGAAAAACAATAGATATGATATTAGATAAAGAAATGCAGCATTTGCAAGTTTCTGCTTAAATTAATTGAAATATTATGGTAAATAATAATCTGAATAGTATAAGCACAAAACTTAAAATCAACAAATAAAAAACCCTTTATAAGCATTCAGTATATCGCAGAAGAATTTATAAGTACATATGTCTAAAAATCATTCTATACACAAGTGATCCCCTGCAAAATCAGCATTAACCAGAATGTGATTGCAATGAATTCAAACCAAATCAAACGTCAAACTATCTCCTTCGTCACTTTTCTCATTTATTTATTTGAAATTTTCATTTTTACTGTTATGGATGATTTAGCTTAGGGGCCCTTTTACAAAATTGCGCGCTTCCGTACTGATCGGCGCATAGGTAGATTTGCACTAGTATATATTGCATTTTATGGGTGATGTTTCGAGTCTTATAAAATAATTATTAGTATTTTAAGATTGAGGCGTTTGAAATTGTGCATATTATCGTTTTTTCCGTAAATTAGCTGCAGTAGAACGATCAGTACAAAAAAAGGAAAATAGTATTTGAAAATATTCTATATTAACTTACAATAGGAAGAATAAATCTATTGTTTACTTCTATTGTAAACAGGCAAAACCTTTTCTAATGGGGTAAATGAGGCGCTCAAAAATTACGATTTTTTGCAAAAAATGTGTAAGGGCCCTTAACAAAATAAGTAAGGACTATGCAAGATCAATACGCTAAAGCACTTGTAGCAAGAACGGAGATTTAATTTTGTTATAGAATAAGGAAATTAAAATACCTGCACGTTCTATAAAATTTCAACTACATAATAAGGTTTATGAGCCCGCTGACACACGAAAGAACGCATGTATGGACGGATAAACAAAAATCAAATGTCAAGTACTGGGGTTCCAATGTTATCATTTAGGTAGGGAACCCTAAAAAGCAATAAAACATAAGCGCAATATACATACAAATAACTAATTATAAATAAGTACATACATTGATGTCTCTGAATAGTTTAATTTTGCCCCATCACTACTCCCTAACGAAAACCAGTCTCGTTTACGTTACGGCTAGTTTGGAAATCGTGACTCAGGGGTGAGTCACGTACATACGTAAATGTTTGCTATAGGTACCAGCGGTATTTCGGCCTTCCGGTGGGCCCCCATCTCCGTCAAGGACCATCGATTACCATCTTCTTGGGCGCATATTGCACAACTTTCTAAGAGAATATCGATAAATTTCTCTCTATTGCCTTTAGGTTCAGTGAAAGTTACAATGTAGACAAGGTATTATTGCCATCTATCTTTTTGTCCAATAACAATGATTAATTTGAGTTATCCTTTAGTACCCTTTTGATAGTCCAAAGATATAAAGCTGTTTTTTATGAATTACCGGAGACTTTGACTGCAAAAAACACTTTCTAAGTTTCCCGTAAAATTTTCATTCCCTATTTATTTACCTTCAGGTTACATTTTCCTGACAAAAAGGAGTCATATATCCTTCTCAGAGGTCGCGTAACTCCGTACCAAAATATTCATAAAACTTTGAATTTTTGTTGTCATGAGTGAGAATATTAAATTTGTGCGTATGCGTGTGTGTTTGTGTGATTTTTGCTATTCGTATTTACCTATCATTTTTATTTTTTATTATTTCGCCTGGAATACTTGCAATTAAAACAATAATAAATTGATAATGAACACTCAATTGTTTCAATTATCAAATAAGTAGTAACAACAAAAATATGTTTATATTTATTAATTATTTTAAATATCATATTACGTTACATTACTTTAACTGGTGTGTGCGTGTGTGTTATAATACTCTTACAATTAATAGTACTTTTTTAAAATTTACGCTTTAATAACATAAATTTGCTTTATACTTGTAGTCATATAACAGGAAACGATGACGCTGTGAATCTATGAAAATAATTATTTTAAGTGGGTTATTCAGGAAAAAAGTAGAAAATTAAGATTTCAAACAAAAAGTAATAACACGAAAAAAGATTATCAAATATATTCAAATATTTATATTTAACCTCTATGGACATCCTAAAATAAACATTCATTCGCAAAAAGAAAAAAATACAACTGGTGACTTTGACATTGGCAAAAACTTCAAAAAAGTTTTGCTAAAGTTTCTATTATTTCTGACTTGAGTGCAACGAAAACTTTTCTTTTACTTTATTATTTTTGTTTCCATTTCCATAATTTATAAAAGCTGTTGAGTTATGCGTGGTGTGAAAGCAATCAAACGTGATGGTAAATAAAGTAGATAATTATTATAAAATCCTTACTGTTTCGATTAATAATAAATACGTATTTTACGTTATTATCATAAAACCTTTAAGACTAAAGAGTGAAAAAAAAACGTAAATGACATTTCGACAAAACTTTGAATAAGCTGTTACATCTTGAATTTATTTTAAATTGCCACAAACTTTAAATTAAGTTCCTGCATTTACATTGTCAAAAATACCTATGTCTGAAAGCTCTTGAGTGAAATGGTTTTTACGTGGGAACGATTTTTGTGCAACTAAAAATAAAGAAAACAAGTGCTATAATTGTGTCGACGTGGATAGAAAACGCCGAGAATCATTTCCGCGTAAAAATATTCTGATTGTGGATGGAAATTCGAATCGCAAGTACTGGATTTCTATTTTATTTCTGTATCCGTATGTTTACTTAATAGTTCGTATACTCAGATAATTTGCTTGATGGGGGACTTTTGTTACAGGACGGTGCCGATAAGTGCGCAGTCTTCACTGTCGCAGATCAACAAAAGGAGGCTGGACTTTGGTGTGGATGTAGAGACTTTTAGATTAGAGGATAGAAGGTTCGAGCGACCTGGTAGCATTAGCTCCATGGAAGACGAGGAATTGGTCGGCAAGAGACGGCGGCGGCTTCTCGATGACGACCGACGAGACGAGTTAGACTACCACCGCCGTACTCTACCGCATCGCCCGCTCCCCTCCCGGCATGACGAAGACGACGAATCACTCATACGAAAGACCCAAGCCGCCCTCAAAACACTCTCCGGCAGTTGGTCTAGAGAACAATCCTCTGGCCAAAGTGCCGATGAAAACGACGACGCCAACGGCTTCGAAAACCTTTTTGGTGATAAACGATCCGACAAAATGCTACCGTCTTCCCCGTCCCCGTCTTCCGAAAGTGCAGATGCTTCCCAAAAAAGTTTCAGCCGTCACCATTCCGACGACCAAAATATTAACGGCACCAGTGAAAATGAGGAACATTCGAGAAAGTCACACAGATCGGACAGAGAAAGAAGTATAGAAGACGCGAGACATAATAATTATTCTAACAATTATGATGCCCCTGGTTTCGATGAGCTCGTCGATTCGTCTTCCAATGAACTAGAGATAGATATGTCGGACCGACATGATGACAAATATGATGACGATAGAGAAAATAAACACAAGCGTAAGAGTGAAATAGTTTCTGTCAACAAGCAATCTCTTTACAACGCGTATAAAGCTGCTACGGCAGCATTACCATATTCAACACAATCTGCGTTCAAGCCACCGGCGGAGGTGAAGCATAGAATCCACGGAGTGACACTTCCAAGCGAACCGTTCGGGGGTTATTCCAATGACCACGAGAAGAGTTCTATCCACAAAGGTTCGAAGCAGTACACAGTGCTCCAGCCAGCAGGCTTGGGGTCACGCGCTGCCACCGCGCTGCAGGAGGCGCGCGCGGTGCCCTTGGCGCAGCCGGCGCGCGACTCGCGCCCTCTCTCCGCGCTCTCCCCGCCGGTCCTCAGAGGTACCGGTCCCACTCACCTCAAACAACAGTCAAACTTTCTTAACGACATGGCTATAACATAGAACTTTGGTTCATGCTATGAACTAAGTCAAAGTTTGTTTCAAGGTTGTCCCGCGACTCTCGTAGCTGCCGGGTCAAATCATCTGTTTGTATTATACGACCTAATTTAATACTATGCTGTCACAACAAATAAAAGAATAATCTTCTCGATGGATTAGCATCTAGTGTAGTTCTAGTTTCTAATTAATATGTATTAATTACTACTATTAGTTTACAATAAACACATTGAAAGTAATTGAAATACCTTAATTCAAAATATTATTTGTCTCAGCGCACATAATCTGTAACAAAAGCTAAATAATAAATCATTTCACATTTGTAGTTGTCCGTCGTAAATTTGTCAGGGACATAGCGAGGTTAGACTCCACCTACGTCGTATATAAAATGTACCTAACGTTTTCCTCGTATTGCCGGCTATGGCAGGGTTTACGTCAGGCGATGCGCAATAAAAACGGGTCAGAACCAGTGGGCGGGGCGGGCGGGCGCCGCCCCGTACTTCTGAAAGAAAAATTCGCGCAGCCGCTCGGCGTTCTTTATTTTTTCTTTGAAGTTGTGCGATGGGGCGCGGGGCGGGGCCGCGCAGGTACGCCCCGCCGCGCGTCCGCCCCTATCGATCGCCGAACGCCCCCGCCCGATAAGGAAAATACTAATTTGTACACCGGTCGATTTGTTCCAGAAGGCAACAAGTGTCCTACTCCCGGCTGCAATGGGCAGGGCCACGTCACCGGCCTCTATACTCACCATCGGAGGTGAGTGCCGATGGCTTTCATGCTTTTCAGTACCAAAAATAACCTCCCAAGAGGCGTGACCGTGGGGTTTATTGAAACTACATCTACTTACAACACCACTTTTACATTTAAGTTAATTGAAATCTTTTCTACACAAGTAAATAACAACAAAAATAATTTAGTTTTACCATGGACATTTTTAAGAATTTACACAAATATTAGACTTGAACATAAGTGCTTCGTATTGAGTTCCCACCTTCTAAACACTTTTCTAGTCCTACTAGTGAATAACCATTATTATCATTTTCTTTCTATAGTCTGTCAGGATGCCCAAGAAAGGATAAAGTCACACCTGAGAGTGAGTAAAATCACTTAAGTCGTGTATTTTATAGAGCTTAATATTATTTTAACTTGTAGTAACATAGAAATTTTATTTTTAAGGTTTAGCACGATCATATTTTTGCTCTATAATTTTAGCGCGTTATTATTTTAGTTTCAATATGTAGTACTCGTCTCATACCTTTTATAGATTACATTTATAATTTCTAAAAGATTTTTTATTTTCTAGAAAGTTGCAAGTTTTTTTATTGTCATTCCCGCAAGTTGGCAATTACTGTTAGTAGTTAGCTTACTTGAATATACAATACTAGTCTTGTACTGTTTCCTGGAAAACCAAAAGCATCAATAATTGTTCGTTTCGTGTTCAGTATTGGCGTTGCACGAGACAATATTGAAGTGCCCCACGCCGGGGTGCAACGGTCGCGGTCACGTGAGCTCCAACCGCAGCACGCACCGCTCGCTGTCTGGCTGCCCTACTGCCGCAGCACGCAAGGCAGCTGCAAGGTCACAACGCGCAAGACCCACAGGTCAGTAGTGTAAAGGAAATTGGTGCCGGCACACTTTGGAGACAATGTCAAAGACTCTCACTTGGGGAACGTGAGCTCCAACCGCGGCACGTACCGCTCGCTGTCTGGCAGCCCTACTGCCGCAGCACGCAAGGTGGCTGCAAGGTCACAACGCGCAAGACCCACAGGTCAATAGTGAAAAGGGAATTGATGACGATAAACTTTGGAGACATTGTGGCAGACTCTCGCTTGGGAAATGTGAGCTCTAACCGCGGCACACACCGCTCGCTATCCGACTGCCCTTCTGCAGCAGCATGCAAGGCGGCTGCAAGGTCACAGGTCACATAAAATTGATAACAACACATTTTGGATACAATGCCCCAGACCCTCGATTTGATTCAGGAAAGAATGTGCAATGTCGTTATTAAAGAGTGCTTACAATATGTTAAACCTGATATGAGGAACTTGATGGTGCAATGCTTTAGCGCGTTCGGTCTGTAATCGTGGAATTTTAAGGCACGTTAAGCCATTGGGCCAGGCTGCATCTGCAGTCCATAGGAATACCTTTTACCAATGCGCCAGCAGTGAGGACATTCATATAGTCTGATGTTGAGGATTACTGATATTCCCGTTACTTTTCATATTAAAACAAAATGCTTGTATTGCAAGATACCAACATTCTTAAAACACTAAAGCGTCTCGACTTAGCTTTATAAGTTCTCTAACAGTCGTTGTTGTAACGGTCTTCGGGCCGTTGCGATAAGCTTATTTACGTCTAACAATGCATCGATAACAAGGCCAAGTATATCACACCGACCCGTCGCCCGTTTAATCAAGGGCCGTTAACAAGAGGACTAACTGTACACCAAATGGGCTACAGACATTCATGACAGTGTTTCAGCATTTCCAGGAGTTAAACAGCAAACTATTTGTATTCGTCAACAGTCCCCATCCAACCTCCGACGGCCACAACTGCCGAGAGCGTGGCTGTAAACGTCGTGAGCACGCAGCGAGAACGTGAAGCGGCGTCGCCGCGGAGTCCTGCGGTGAAGCGAGAAGCGCCCGAACTGCTGGTGCCAAAGCGAGAGGCCGCCGAGCCCGAGCGCGACTCTCCCGCAATGGAGACGCGCCACGCCGGCTACGGCGCGCCGCCTGACCAACGCTCCCCATACGACAGACCTCCGGACGACCACGTCCGATCATATAGGTAAAAAGAACCCCATCTTACATTCCTATGCAATAAATATAACCTTTACAAAGTCCCTTGCAGAAGTATTTTCGAAAGCGGACTTTCTGTTCGAATTGAAAAGACTGCCTAGGGAAGTATATTATAACTGCTGCTTAGTAGTATTGTATTTCTGTGGTAAAATTGCGGAAATTTCAGGATGAAGATTGAGCTGGTAAAGAAGCTGGTGTAACACGTATCTGTAACCAGCCATCTAAAACAACTAACCGTATTACCCCATTTTACATTCCTTTAAAACGAAATTATGGAATGAACTCCTTTCCACAGTGTTCCCTTAGTACTATAGCATGGTCCCCTTCAAAGGAGGCTTAAATAGAGTATTCCACGAAAGACACCGGCATGAATGTGCACTGGCTGGTGTCCATGGGCGACGGTGACCACTTAAAATCAGGTGGCCGTTAGTACGTACGTATTACCACCTCATCATTCAAACCTTCCAACACAGTCCTTCCTTCCTAACATCTTCCTACATATTCCACTTTCTCCATTTATTATCTAACAAACTTTCTCCCAATACTTTATTTTTGAACGAGCATCACATTCTATAATTTTCCACAGTCAAATGAATGAGACCCGTTACGGGTACGAAAGCCGGTGCTATGAGGGTGCACCCGCGTTCGAGCGGTATGACCCGGCGCAATGTCCACAGCGGCCGTACGGCTGGGAGGACGAGAGGTACCACGAGCCACACTTACCCACGCCGATGAAAACCGACCAATCCGAAGAGACTAGCTCCGGCCCCATTTACCCTAGGTACGTAGCATTGATCACCAAACACTTGTAGCGTTATTCCGTCATAAATCTATGCCTTATCCTAATGTGGTAAACGAGACAAAGGTCGGAAAACTTGTAGGATATTTTCTTTACGTATACCGAAAAGGTGATAGATTTACCAAATGATTATTATTTTTTTGTTTGATAAGGTGGTTTTGTCGTTTCACCTTTTCGGTAACAGTCATGTTGGATAGCGAAACTTCAACGGCTTCGTGTCTCTCTAGACCAATGTACCACTACGAAACGAGTAGCGGAGTAGGTGGCGTGGGCGGCGTCGGGGCGATGGGTCCGGGAGTTCCGCCCGGCTTCTCGGCAATCAACTTGTCCGTGAAGATCGCGGCGGCGCAGGCGCAGCGGCCAAGGAGTCCAACCCCACGGGACCCGAGAGACCCACGCCCGGCCATCGACCTCTCAACGTCTAGTGGGAGTCCACAGGTGAGGCCGACTTAAACCCCCTTTTCTAACAACATACTAGAGCAGGGATGGGTAAACTACGGCCCTCGTGTGGGCCATCTCTGGCCCTCATATGGTTGAATTTCGGCCCGTGACATCAAATAAAAATCATAGATCCCTATACCTACTCACCAAAGATTACCATTTTGTGTACATGTTACGAAAACCCCGCTCCCGAATACTTATTTGCTTTAAAACAAACTCAGGGGCAAAAAAAATACCATGCGTGAGGGGCATTCGTTAATAAGCTATATTGGGGGGGGCAAATCGAGGCCCGCCATAGATTATGGTGCCCATCCCTGCACTAGAGTATATTTTTATCAATTAACTATAATAGCTCCATACAATTGTCGTACCGCTTATGATCTAGTCATACTTGCTAAAATTGCCGAGTTTATTGACTTCACACCTGGAACGCCAAAGTGCCTTATGCATTCTAGTTTTCAATTGACAGTCCTCGTAAACTTTAGTTATTGAAAATCCCTTAGGAAACTAACATTTCTCAGGCATAAAAAGTACTTATTAAATGTCTCTTTCCAGTGATTCAGTATCAAATATACTAACGTTCACTTCTATGATATTAGTAGGATAGAAGGATTCACTTTCATAATATAAGTAGAATTATCGCATCATGGGTACTTATTTGTTTTGAATGTTGAATTGAAACTGTTGACAACAGGGTCCATACGCGTCTCCGGTGTACACGAGCGCCGGGGGCGGCAGCGGAGGCGCGCGCGGCAGCCCCCAGCCCGGCGCCTCGCCGCAGCTCACGGCCAGCCCACAGGTGCCCAGCCCACAGGGGCAGACCCTCGACCTTAGCGTGTCCCGTTTACCACATAGGTGAGGCATTACTTAGGACCTTATTGCTAGATACAAACCTGTATTCCAAATTTAAAGTAGGAAGATATATCTTTTTTTTTGCTCAGCTTATAATTTGTACTTAGTGCGTATTGTATATATAGTGCGATAAGGATCTTTATGGCTGTGGCGAAAATTGGAACTACTTTGTCTTTGTAAACGTCATGCTTATTTTGTATGTCATTTACGTAGACAGTGGCGCCTTCCCTAAACTGTCACTCACATTCATAAAAATACTTTTCGTACTACACCAGTTTGTACTGTTTTTGGGTGTATAATTTAATTGAAATAATTGTCAACAGTCGCGGATTTCCCGGTGGAGTTTCGTACAGTCGAGAATCAACACCAGATAGTGGCGGCAGCCATCCCTACTTAGAAGCATACCATAGAGATACAGCTGGTAAGTTAACAATTGTGTAGGTAATATCGGTATGACTATTATCCAAAGATACTCTTTAAAAAATAGTAGGTATATAGAATAGAATAAAATAAAGAGACAATGGCCGATGAAATGCAATACATTTATTAGTAGCTCCTGTGAAAATTAACCGAGCAAACTCAAAATGCCTCCACTTTGTAAAGGTGTTTTCACATGGCAAGCAAAGTCGTAAAACATCGCGCGCAAATTAAGGCGGGACCACGATAATCGGTCCTCTGCGGGTTTTGCCTTTACAGTGCAGGTGTAGGTACTGACATAATCCGCTCCGGTTACTGACTTCGGTTTGCTTGTCAGGGTAGCTACTCACCTAATCAGGCAGGCATAGTCGGTTCAGCAGTATTTGTCGAACAACAAAGCCGACCCATAGGGATTACTGCCGAACATTCATCTACAGATATCCGATTTTGCCGCCTGGCAGTGCCGATTAATGCCGGCCCGATTATGTTAGTAGCTAACCAGTTACATCAAGGATATTTTCAATAACAATGTTCAAGGAAAACTGTGTGAATGAACATGAACAAGTAAACGGATTTTTGCTGAATGTTTGGTTATTCATTTTTTTGAATAAAACAAAAAACATATATTCCTTTAGATTCCTATCATATTTAATAGAATTAAAAGATTAGTTAGGTAATCAGTTTTAAATATTGGCTCTATTATCTACTTTAACATGAAAAATATTCATAACATCACTTAATATGTCTTGTGTTGCAATGAGGGTCATTACTAAGTCAGCAAATCAACTCAAAATCAACAGTATAATGATCTAATATGCTTTTTAATTAATATACACTACTTTGTAAATCATCGAAATGGGTTCATTCGTGGCGATTTTACAAATAATTTTAAGGTAGCCAATATTCACCGGTGGCCGAAACGTATGACGTCACAGAGCTCGATCGGTGTTCACTCCGGTCAAACTTTAGTAGCGTCTCTAGGCACGCTCGCGCCCGAGCGCTAGAGCTCTGTGACGTCACAGTCACCACGCGGCCAGCCGAAAATTCGTTTATTAATTTGGTCATAACTTCGTCAATATTTGACGAGATAAGTATAATATTGAACACGATTGCAGGTAAAATCTGTATTATACAATGTGATTATAGAAAAACCGGGGTTTGGTTAATAGTAAATGGTTAAAGCTGCATTCTCAACTAAAATCTTTACGGATCCTCATTGCTAGTCTAGAAATTACGTCTAACTACAGAAGGTTAAGTCAGAAGTCCCATCGACCGTGTGGTTGATATAACCACATCTCTCCCCCACGCCATGTTTAATTAAAATTGAGTGTGTATCCACTAGAGATTTTCTCTCTCGTCTTTATGCATGACATAGCTTTTGTGTTACCCTATTATTATTAAAGCAACACCTAGCATAAATATTATACATAAACGTTGCGATACTAGGCATGACGTCAACCTGCGCTGAGTTTAAACTTTCAATTGTTTAGGAAACCAAAAGCTGCACATACACAGATTGTATGTACTTTTTTCACGTAGGTACTAATTATCACGTTCATTTGATTTTAATCGATAGTACAACAGTATATAATAATATGTTCTGATTCAAAAGGCCCTAATAAAATCAAATTTGCCTTGTTTACTGACTCGTGTAGAAAGGTCGTTCACTACACATTGTTGCTGATGATCTCATTAATTAAGCGGAGACCTAACATCGTTTCAAGGCCGGGACATTAAATTTTTACGATGGTTACGTTCATGAAGATGCACTATTCCATTCTTTATAAGGCCTCTGAGAAAAAAAATAAACCGGAGGCTGTAGAGGCGTGACAGAAAAAATGATGCTTCGTTCTGAGCTTACTCTCTGGCTTGGGCGCGACAAGATATGGAGGCAAGGAAAGGACTGGACGTGGCCAGCCGATGGCTTGATGTAAAAGTATGAATTGGGGATACATAAAGCTTCAGATTTGTAATGCTCTTAACTTAATTGGTATTGAAATCACCTAGTGAATATACTCGAGTTTCGATGTGCAGGAAGCAGAAATGTTAGGTCAGGCAAACAAGTCAAATTAGCGGGCTGACTTTGGTTGCTTTACATTTGTTTGACTTCAGTTTTTATGAGGATTCCTGAGGGCGTCGCTATTTTATGGAGGAATGAATTCCCACTGGTTGTCTGTGTACGGTCTGATTACAGCTTGACTTGTTTCAGGGTACGGCGGAGTGAGTCCCCATCCCGTAGCCGGGTACGGTCTCGCGCAACCCGACTACGCAGCGGCGGCGGCGGCGGCCGGGTACGGCGGCTACCAGTACCAGTGCGGCGCGTACCCGCCCCCGCCCGCGTACCCGCCCCATGCACCGCCCTACTCGCCGCCCTGCTACATGCCGCCGCCGCACGCACCGCACGACAAGCCTAAAGATAGCAGGTGAATATAACATATACCTTTTTTTTACTCGGAGAAATACATTTAGAATACCCTGCCGCTGGGTAAGGCGACGAGGTTATGTGAGACTCTTCCCCCCACCTCCCACTCACTCACTCATCCAAACTTAAGGCTGGCTCAATGGCTGCTCGGGATGGGGCGGTCTACCCACTAAAACTTCGGAATGAGCGCTCTCACAGAAGAGAACCTTGCCGGTGACGGATGACGTGGGCTCCTTGTTACAAATTAACCATGCATATGACATATACCTGCCTGCAATTCTTTAAAATAAAATCTCACTTCCAATTTCGATAGTACCATTTTAGACATAGCTTTGAATATGCATTACGCCATTAGTCCTCTTGTTAACGGCCGTTGTTTTACCGACGGCCAACGGGCCGATGCGTTATACTTGTCCTCCTTATCGAATACAAGAACCGCAACGGCTCGCAATCCGTTAAAACAATAATGTTATTATTCTAACGGCCCTTAACAATAAAGAGGCCTTACACGGCGATATGGCACAATAACTGTTAAAACAGCCAGTAATAAATAAATCCGAGTGCATGGGATCGTAAGTAAGTTTGTATTTTATTTATCCGACATCTTGTGACTTATCACTTTCTCAAAGTTTTTCGTGTGAATATCAAAGGACCAAAGTTTATAAGAGAGTACATGAGATGTTAAAGAATCTTAAAAATGTATCACAAAAAATCACAACCAATTCTCTTCCTAGTCTGTGTTAAAACGTAACCACGATCGCAGGCCGAACTCGAGCGCGCTATCCACCTGCACCATCGAGCTCCTGTATCCATGAGTATATTGTTTAAATTTTAACTCGATACCTCCACGCGTATCTATCCGTGATAAAGGGTTTTGACAGACAGGCAGATAAACGGCCAAAAAAAAGATACTTTTTTACGTTAAATTAGAAGTTTGATTTTTTTTTCAGCTTAAAGTGACCGTAGATATCTGATTAAGATCAAGATCATTCAACTCAAACCTTTACGCGTAATCGTACATTACATATACAAAACAAAAAAAGCAAACTGCCCTTATTAAAGCTCCCATACACGGCAGTCCGCCTTGCAGTTCGGCGCTATTTGCAGTTTATGAAGGCCTAAAGAAGGGGAAGAGTGTCCTGCGAGCTACGAGCTGGGTGATGGTCGGGCATTGCATATAATTATGGAGAGTTAACCTCCGCATTTCACTTGCGCGATGTAGGCTTCCATACGTTGTCAGCGCAGCATCGGTAGCGCCATCTTTTGAGGACGCGAATGATTATATCCTCCATGTCGGTTATATGTGGGGCATGTAGATTTCGCCGCCACATGCAGGATACTGGATACGTCTGGAGTCCTGCACGGCGGGGTGGACTGCAATGAAGGATCGTGAATGGTCCCTTTTCGCCTCAATGCATTTCATTTTACTGACATCTAATGGTGCTTTTATGAACTGCGTTGTTGTCGTGTAGCGACAAAATAAATAGGAAAAGAAAAGAAAAAAAGGCCAGGGCAGCCGGCACCGGGGCAAGGCCTTTTAGAAATTTGGAGAGGCTCGGTAGCGAGCCAAAAGAAAGGATGAGATACGTTACAATGTCCATAACAACCTAAAAATGTGTGGTTTCTGCAATGGAAGTTTCTGACGATGCTCTCAAGTCAAGATACAAATATGAAGATTGCTGAAAATTCTGGCAACTCTTCATATATGCGGTGCGACATCACAGAGATCATTTTCTATGCTAAAACTTATAAAAACTTGATTGAGGCAAAACTTGTTAAAAGAAAAGTTGACAGATCCACACAACACAACACAACCAATTGAATAAAGTATAATTTAATTTCAATAACTTTGTGAAATCTTTTTTTACGCTTTTTGTTTTCTTTTTACGCTTAATTGGTTAATTCAGTACTTATACAAAACCAGCAAATCCGACAAACGTTATACTATCAGAAAAAACCCAACTGCAGAAACTACTACCTATCGAGTCCAAAGGTATTCATAAAATTAACTCCAGCTCCACGCGTTCCAGAAAAACAAAAGAAAAGGGGCCTCGACTTGACAGACGGACAAACGGATGGATGCGCAAAAACGATAATAAAGGATTCTTTTGAGGCACAGAAGATAAGAAACACTATAAATTATTTAGTGTTTTTTCATCTTTAACAATGGTTATCTTACTCGCATTGTTCTTAAAAAAATACATTTCGGTTCATATTCATTTAAAATTATTAATACATAACATAAAGGTTAATTTATTTCATCAAACAAACTTTTAAAAACACCGTGCAGATCTATATACACGATATTGCTATTACACCCATTTTGAGTTTGGCGCCATAACACTTATACGTCACCGGGAATGTATTGAATAGTTTTTTTTTACTTTTAACAATAAGTAGATACAGAATAAAGAAATTATAATTTCGGTATTATTTTTTGGAAATTTTTAATCGTAACTTATTTTTTATTGAATGAATACTAAATCAGCTTATTTGAATACCTCAGAAAAGGAGCTATAAACTTTACTTCTTGTTCCGAGTTGAATACTCTGTGGCTATGACGTCAGACGACATACTTGCGTTAACGTTCAGAAACAAGTTTATCATAGCTTAACTAACTTCTATTTAAATAAGGATGTAGCGTAATCGAAGTATAAGTTGATAATATTTATTACAAATAAATAAAATATGAATATAACCATTATAGGTTTTTTTATTATTCTGTCACTTAAAAAAGTTTTCAAGTTCAATGATAATAATATTCTTTCAATCGATCACATAATTTTCTCAAGAACGTAGACATATAAAGTTATGATAAACAAAATTTCATAAGTGTCAAATAGCTTTCAATGCATTAAATTCATTTATATAACTGTATTCCTTGTCAATCTGTTAATACAAAATGAATTGTTTGGAAAACGCATATCATATTAAAGAAATAACTGCAGATTTCAACAAGTAAGTTTAAATAAAGTATAAATAAAAAGACAAAGCGCACAAGGGCACAAAGCGAGCGTCAGGATCAGGTACTTTATAAATTCTGGTTACCTCTCTTTCAGACATCATAAAGCCGAAAGAGATTACCGATTTCATTCAAACAACCCTTGGTAAACGGTCACCCCACCCCTCCCTCCTCTGTTTAATAGAGAAGCGGTCGGCCAAAAGTTTTTTCGTCAACAACGTTCAAACAGTATAAACTTATCCTCGCCCATGTTAACTACTACATTTCAAAACTTTTACATAGTTTAGAACGGAAACAAAAAGTTTTAGATACTTTTTAGCGTCGGTTAACCTAGTTATCAATTAAATCTTAGGTTAGAATTGTTTGCGCGAGACAGATTGTTTTCGAACGGCACAGTCACACAGCGGTGGATCAGTCTAAATATACACATGCGCTCGCGCACGCGCAGGCGCGTTCCACAGCCAGTGCTAAACGAAGACGCCAGATAAAACTTTTTTCACGATAAGATATACACATAATACAATATCAGAGTGTTTATTGTGTATCTAACATCATTGGAACACAGAAATGTTTCGATTTAGGTGAGTTGAAAAACTTTTAAAAACTTTATAAACTTCTGTCCGCGTCGACCGTTCTAGGCGTAAACAACGTCGGTGTAATAATAATAACAATAACTTTGCAAACTCTTTGAAAGTTTTTTTTATATCGCCAGATAACAATCGATCAAAATAAAGTTTACAAATAGTTTTAAAATTAAAATCAGTTGCATAAAGTTGTTCTATATTCTTAATAGTGAAGAATAGTATTGCTAAGAAATAGCATTAAGATCGAGTTTATTATAAATCCATCGGCATAACTTTTTCAATGTTATAGAAACTAGTGCGCTCCGCGGGGCAGATGTCGCTGCGTTGTAACTTTTTGTTTAGTTTCTTTTTTTGTGCGTTATGTTTGATTTTGTTTTTGTTTATTTTGCGATAATTATAGCATCCGCGAGGAACTTTATGGGAAACTAGAATGCCGCATGAAAGAGCAGAAGACGCCACCGCCACTAATAAAATGCCCTCTGGAGTATTGCGACGGCTCCGGGCATATATCCGGGAACTTCGCGTCGCACCGCAGGCAAGCAGCAATATTAGCACAGAATGTCGGATGTGCTCGACATGGCACTAAAATACAATAGGGCTGACACTGCATGGTCTTTAAAAGTTAAAAAAAAAAAAAAACTTAGATAAAGATGATTAACTTATTCGGACTTTCCAATTATTATTAAATTGTAGCAAATTACAATAAATAAAATAATGTCATAAATTTAACATTACCTCTATAGTTATAATGCTGAAATCTATAAAAAAAATCTTGAATTTCTATACCCGCAAAAAGTAGCCAATTCTGCATGTGTTGGGTGGATGGGAATATAATCATATTCAGTTTTAGTGTTGATATTTTTATATCATAGTTACTAATATAGGTTGGCACCACAATGAAAAAAGGCAGAAAGTAATTGAAATAGTTACGCATGATTCTGTTATTTTTATTATTTGAGTTTTGTATTATTTGCTACAAATAAGTATAGAAACACAATTTCACTTGTGGTATAGAGGTAAGTACCTATATAAATCTAATTAATCTTACGCGAACTCTAAATAACAATCTTGGCATGTATTAGGTTAAAACTTACAATTAAATTATTTATGTTGAAATAAAAAGTTGGAGGGAGTAGACTATATAAACGGATGTTTGCTTTGGCGAAAAATGAGAATTCTTTTAATATTTTTCAGTTTTATAGATCTACAGTGTTACTGTGTAACTTTTCATCCAAACACTGTTTAATACCACGGACTCAGACCTCTAAAGAAACTTTTCTTTCAGATGGTCAGATGTTAATAGAAACCATTTGTTAGTTGATTTAAATATTTGAAACATATCATCCTATGGAAATAGAATTAAATAGTAATTATGAGATACAAAATTGTAATTTTAACGATATTTTTTACCGTCAATAATCGTCGTAAAACAAAAAATATTTCTCGTAAGTCTCTTTATCAAAGAAGTGACAACCCTATATCACAATACAAACATACAGCATTTACGCAGCAAGTGCTCGCTCTACATATATAGTGATCTGTGGTGCTCGCTCTGGATGACAATTTGCGCATTTCCGAACCAAAACATTTGTCTTCCCACACGTCTTTGCAAAGACAGATTTTATACTATCATAAAATGTGGACGACCGACAGACAGTGACTAGGTTACAGGATATTTACCATATGCAAAACATTTGTAACCAAACCCATGGAAAAACTATTTAAATAACTATACTAAACGCTTTCCTTGAGGAAAAAGTTTTACGTCAAATTTAATACCTACCTACTAATGCCTACGTGAATAAATGTAAATGAGAATAATGCATTAGATTATATGCACCCTTAAATTGGGTTATATCACTTATACATTTCCCATGCAAAGAATTTACAATTCAAACTTTTAAAAATATTGTAACAGTGGCAACGCACGATCACGCGCTCAGCAGCATGAAATGACGTTGATTTCAATATTTTCCTTTTAAATTTATTCTACTTAAAACGAAGCTATGATAATAAACTTGGCGATAAACGTTGACAAAACTGTATATACCTACTTTGAGACATATTTTAAAATGTCTCCATTAGTTACACTTCAAATTGTTTCAGCTAATGCGTAGGTAGGTACTTAGATAATGCAATAATTAATGTTCATTAACATAAACACAATTGTCAAACTCACACGTTAAACAAAACCATAATTAGTTAATACTTTCTCTGTGTATGTGCCATTTGAAAAATTTACTGATGCCCTACTTACATTTAAAACAACTTACTTAATAACATTATGTTATACCTAAGTATTGAGGAAATTAATTATGTAGATGTTTCATAATTTGAATAATTGCACTTTCATTCAGACGTCAGCATTAAACGTTTATCAAAAAATTGCAACCTATGGAGTATTCTTTGTAAAAAAGAATCGTCAACTTTTTTCTTATTCTATGAAACTTTATTGAAGCCAGATTTTAAAATACGCTCCTACCTAGTAAAAGATAAACAATAAACATGCACAAATCCGTGGCTTTTTATACCTACCTAAGTCGATCGTAAAAAAAACACTAAAGATTTAACGAACGTGGTATTTACTTTTTGTTTAAAAGTAATCACCCAATACTTAACAACTGTGTGTCATCTATTGTCTGACACAAAACTCTTATCATTCATGGAAAACGAAAGTCATTTATTTTGTTTTTTAAGTATTATTGTCAATACACTTTAATGGGACAGTACTAGAACTGTAATGCGTTGAATACAGGTAGGGCTGCCATCAGTCCGGATATGCTATAAAATCTAGGTAAATCCGAACGTTTAAAGGCCTTTGGAGTGTCATCCGTACATTACATGACAGGAGAAAAAATATTAATCCCTAAGTAATTGTATCGGTGATTTTTTTTATTAATTACATACCTACCGACCTATCAATACTTACATTATGGTATTTAATATCGTTCTATGTAGTGTATTTCATGATCTTTTTACCTACCTTTATAACTTTCAAAGGTTTTTATAAAGTCTACCAAACTCAGTTCCTGTACTGAACTGACCAATGCTCATTTGTTTTCTTCTTACTCAAATATTTGTGATTCAAAAAGAGTTGCATGACCTACTACCTAATACTGATAAAAGAGCGAGTTAATTTGGGCACCTTTAGGTGGAGACCTAGTGGTGGCGAATCTAATTGACTTGATTCGCCACTACTAGGTCATATAACACTTATCAATGAGAGTTATTGACTCCATTCAATGTAATCTCTCTGTTATAATAAAAAATACTAGTAGACCTTCCTCTTCTTCTTTGTCTGTTTATTTAAAAATAACATAAGAGTTGTGAGTAAATTACAAAAAAGCAATATCTTTAGATTATTAAGTGGTAAAACTTTTCAACAATGGAAAAGGAAAACAACCTAAAAATATACAAAAATGCCGTAAATTCCCCGCGGAATGGCCAAAGTATACCTATCAATCGAAACCATAAAACGAATTGTAGTCACAATTTTATTAATATTTATTAGGTCTATGTAGACCTTACCTTCAACAATGTTGTTGAACGAAACAATAGTGTCATACAGATAAGCCTACAACAGTTTCCAAATAAACTTGGTGCATTGATTGACCTATTGATTTATGGGGAAAGTCAGGTGAGACATTCAGTTTTTGTACATGCAGAACTGCCCTGCTAGATGGCGTAGGAGGTTAGCGCGTTTAGCCTGCGATCGTGGAAGTTAAGCAAGTTGCGCGATGGTCTGTCATTGGATGGTTGACCATAAACTTACTATCTTGAGCTCCTCCGTGCTTCGACTGCAGATGAGGCAGGCCGTGACTGATTCGGAAGGCACGTTAAGCCGTTGGTCCCGGCCGGTTGGTACCCGCTAATGCGCACTGGGGTGATCGGTCACGGCCCAATCACCCTGTTCCATCCATAGAGAAGGCCTGTGCCGTAGCAGTGGGTACATTAATAGACTGATGATAGTGGTGTTAAACTGCCCCACTGACATAATGATTACGAGAAACTTCTATTGTTTTTGATGTGTAGTCCAAAACAAGCAGCTACCCCGTCACGCCATTGTAAGCAGTTTGTATATGTGCAGCCTGTCGGGATGCCCGCGCGCGGACCGCTCGCAGCTGCAGCCGCACTCGCAGGAGCTTAAGTGCCCCACGCCCGGCTGTGACGGCTCTGGCCACGTCACAGGCAACTACTCCTCGCACCGGTCGCTCTCCGGCTGCCCGAGGGCCAACAAGCCCAAGAGCAAGCCCAGAGACGGACAGGACTCCGAACCCCTCAGGTATAAATGACAAATATTGGACAATATCATATAACATAGACAATATGATTTAAAAGTCGTATCATATGCTGGTCGAAACTTGGTAGCTGAAACTCGTGTATTATGGAAATCAAAAACAACCATGGTTGGCACCACTATGTAGCGATGTTTACACTAATTCGGCTAGGAATTCGATCCTCGGATCTGTGGGATAGTTTTGGCGACAACTTCATGGTACATCCGATGTACAATCTCTCGATCAATATGGTCGTCAGTGCCGGTAGTTGTACTGATGAAATCGCAGATGCCACTCCTGATTCCTGGAAATAAACATCAAGAGCTTGTTGGATAGTCTTTAAAGTATTTAAATTACTGCTTAGCTTTACAGCTTAGCTTGATAGTATTTCTTTAATTGATTCATAATCCTGCCTACAAGTCTAAAGTAAAAACACACAAAACATAAACATTACACATACCCTGACTATAGATATATCTTCCACATCGCGTAACATTACATTTGACGTAAGACACAGTATTTAGATCTCGACGAACCTTGCTCCTTTGAATTAAAATAACTCGTTTGCAATTGTGGTGGCTTTTGTAATTGTTACAATGAGTTTCTTGGTTATTTGCACGCCGCTTAGATGCCCTATACCGGGCTGTGACGGATCTGGACACGCCACAGGAAAATTCCTGTCGCACAGAAGGTAAGATGTGTATGTTGATAATGGTAGTTGTACGATCGTAGATAATGTACGGTAGAAAATATGAAAGGTGAATTATAATTAATTGATTTTGCGAAGACGTCATCATGAGAATATATGTTTAGAGTATGTACCAATATCTACTTAGAACATAGTTGGGTATTTTACGTTGTGCTAATAAAGTATTCTTGTGACAGTGCCTCTGGCTGCCCGATTGCGAACCGCAACAAGATGCGCGTATTGGAAAGCGGGGGAACAGTTGAGCAGCACAAAGCAGCAGTGGCTGCTGCCGCGTCGGCCATCAAGTTTGATGGCGTGAATTGCCCCACACCCGGCTGCGACGGCTCGGGACACCTCAACGGATCTTTTTTAACCCACCGTTCCTTGTCCGGCTGCCCTATAGCGGGTGCTGCGACGCCCACGCCACAACCGAAGAAACCTAAATACCCTGACGACATAACACCGCTATATCCTAAACCATATTCTGGTAAGTAGTCTGCAGTCATATTCGTAAAATTAACTTTTCATGCTATTAAATTCTGGTACGACTGCAATGTTAGATGATGTTTAGATCATCAAACGAAGTTTGTCCTCTTCAATATCCTACATTTATGATATTTATTGGATCCTAAACCCATCAATTTCTGAACTGGTTAAATTTCGAAAGGTATCTGGCATCTGTTAAGTCAGCGTGTAAATTTAACAAAAAATATGCTTTTACTTTTCCAGGGATGGATATGAACATGCAAACTGGTAACGGGGAAGACCTAATGACTTTGGAACAAGAAATCACGGAGTTGCAGCGGGAGAATGCACGCGTGGAGTCACAGATGATGCGCCTCAAGTCTGACATCAATGCAATGGAGACGCACCTTAGCCACGGGGAAAGGGTAAGGAAATAGCAACAATTTATCATTTACTTTCTTACTTGGGTTCATCATCAGCCTGTTGATATCCCAACTGCAAAGCAAAACCTTTTCTTCATGAGAATATCATAGGAAGTACGGGCTATTATGCACCACGAGGTTACAGTGCTACTTGGACGCTTACTTAAAGGTTACAATAGGATAATTATTGTGGTCTACTAATACATTATTAATTATTGTGGTTGATGAAGACTAAACTGTGAAGCGGAAAGGTCGAAGGAGAGTCTATAATTGTTATCAAATGTAAACTTATTATTATGATGTTGTCCATAATTTGTAATCGAATGTTTGTCTCATAACATAGATGGTTCAGTCATGGCTTCAAACGTCCAACTTTGAGTGCTACTGACACATCACATGAACATAAAGTGAGTACCACTAGTTACTTACTTTATGGTACTTTTGAGATACTTTCTAAACCTTTTCTTGATCGAGACATGACTGTACCATATATTATAAATCCTGTATTCTGATTCAGCTTTTATTTAAGACGTTTCAGTGAATCAGATTTAAAGTTACAGTTACCCTCTTTTTATCGGTTTCTCCATTGTGTGGATAATAAATAAGAAAACAAATCACAAACAGCACAATACAAGGAAATTCAAATATTACCATCAATGTACAAAACTAGCATTGCTATTTGGCGTTTTGAATCAACGATATTAAATTAATATCGTTGTTTTAGTTAAAGCATCTATCTACATGCCACGACACGACTATAGCTTTTCAACACCATGCAACTAACATAATGTCAACCCGCCGCGTGTATAGAAAAGACCTTTTGCCAATTGACATTATGTTAATTGCATGGTGTCGATAAGCTATAGTCGTGGCATCTAGATGCTTCCCCACCCCATGCTTGTTCCTCAATCTCGCCATAGTCTTGACCCTATCCGTATGTTTGCAGGAGAACCAGCTGATATCGCAGCGCAACAACAACCTGAATGAGTACTACGAGAGCTTGCGCAACAACGTGATCACGCTGCTGGAGCACGTGCGGATCCCGGGCGGCGGCGGCGCGGCGGCGGGCGCGGGCGGCGGGCCGGGAGCGGCGCCAGCGCCCGCGCCGCCGCCGCCCGGCGAGAAGCCCGCGCACGACAACTTCGATTCCTACCTCACCAAGCTGCAGACCCTCTGCTCCCCCGACGGCTACTGCCCCGACGAGAACCGACCCATCTACGAAACCGTCAAAAACGCGCTCCAAGACTTCACAGTGCTGCCCACGCCCATTTAAGGTTCACAGAGCGCCGCCGAGCCCGAGCGGCACTGAGCCCGACGACGACCACGCTCGGCTCGGCTCGGCTCGGCGGGGCTTCCGCTCCCCATTCCAAACCAAAGACTACAAAGTGAATTAACAGCCCGACTGTACAGTGCGGCAGACGTGTTTGATGTGTTCTAATAATAATAATTAACGATAATTATGTCTGTTTCGTGAACCGTTGTATACGATGTTTTGACTTTTGTTGTGACGCCACGCAGGCCGGCGACAGACTATTCGGCGTACGTTTACATTATTATGTGAGACGGACTGGAGTAATTAGGACACATAAATAAATTTTTAAACGCTGTTACCCGTATGCTTAAAATTAAACCTAATCGTTAGGGGTGAAGTTTATACTAATGTATGTACGTAAGTAAGCGGTTTTTAGCCCCACGGACGCATGTTTTTTGTGTAAATATTGTATCTACTCTGCGATTGATCGAGTATGTCCACGTCTGGCCACGGATGGAGTGATCAGTTTTTTGCGAATTTCTGAACCGCACCCAGAGCTGTATCGATCGATTACCTACGTTATACTATATAGTGCATAAGTGAAACCTGTTACTGTCTAAGTTCTTAACACTGGGAATGTGCCAAATGCTTCTGACTCACAGCAGCTCCCATTCGCTGATATATTAAGACTAAAAAATAATGTCATAGAATTAATAAACGATGTAAACAAAATTAAATTCCTTATAGGGAACTCTAGTCAGTTTTTGTAAATAATTGTGAATAAAATAGTTGTCACGTCATAGGGACGTTTTTATTTGTATTAGGGAATAACGAGATCTCATTAGATCGAGTAAGTTAATGATTCACTCATAAATTGATAACCAATTTTAGAGAATAAAATTGATACCTTCTTTGTTAGCCAATGTTCACTTTGCTGTGATTATGTTACGTGTTAATTATTTATTGTTATATTTATGGATTGTGATAACTTACTTAAATCGGGTTAATGTTATTTTGCAATACTTTACGTTATGAGCTTTGCACACGTGATATCATTATGTTGGAAATCGTAATTTATGTTAATCTAATAATCTCAATTCATTCCATTAGTTGAACCACATTGGTTGATACCTACACAAATCAATAACGTATTCACATTTAAAGTGCTAAATCCTTTTAATATGTTACTACTCTGATTGTCATATACGTTTCTGTAAAATATTGAGTATGTGTTGTTAAAGAGAATTAAAATAATAAATACCGATATTATTCTTTTGTTTTTAAGTCTTAATAAATAAGGACTTGCCTTTATTTGCTCAAACCACCAACTCCGTACTTATACATGGAAAGAATGACCCTGACGCCTATCCCAAAACATACCGCTTTGGAATAGGCATCAGAGAACGTACACAAAGACAGAAAATCAGTAACGTTCATATTTTTGTAGCCACAAGCAGGCCCCTCTTTCCCAGTGGTCACTTTGGGCAAGTGCCCAGGGCCCCGCGATCGATAGGGGGCCCCCTCAGATCAAATACAAAGTCCCTAGTTCCTGTTAAATCACCAAACGGGGGTCATACGGGCCCCATTATCCTAATATGCCCAGGGCCTCCAATAGGCCAAAGACGGCATTGGCCACAAGACTATCGGTCTTACTACAAAAGAGTTGAGAGTTGAGACGGTTTCAAACCTTGTTTAGACAAATTTTGTATGACATTTTTCTAAAACTTGTATTGAAAGCATGTCTAACTTTTTTGTAGTATTATGGATAGGTTTTTTTTAGTAATAAGGTATATTTTTTTATAGACATAGTGGTTCTAAACTACAACTATAGTGAAAAAAACGCGATACTAGGAAGTTGTAATCTAAGCAACCACGTATCAGATCCCACAGCAATCCCATACCAAAATCTGGCGCGCATCTTTTAGAAGTCAAGAACAAGAAGTCACGACATAATATCAACGTCGGTCGGGAGAAAAAAGTTATTAAAACCCAAAAATCATTTTCTTTCAATATGAAAATAATTGAAATTATTTGATGAAATTATTTATGAAGCCTGGTTGGTGTGAATGGGGTGTTTCTTCACTGGAAGAATTCGCGCATGACGTTGCTGTAAATATGTACTATCTCCCTGACTGGGGATCTTTCGCCTGTACTATATATTTTCGTCCGCGACACGACACTACCGAAAAGTAAATTAATGCGCATTGACATTAATAATATTCTATAATGACATACCTCACAGGACAAACAAGACATTAAACACGTGATTAAACATTACAGTGAAAACATACACAATAGGCATTGATTTGATGTAACGTTAGGAGTTGCATCAAAATATAACAGAATATCATTACAGGGCAGGGGGCCAATCGCCTGGCTATCGCTATCGCTTACGATTTCATTTTGTTATTTCTGACCCCCGAAGGTTTTCAAAGCCTCACGCTCAGTTTGTTGAATATTGTAGTACCAATGCAAAAGAAAAAAATCATGTGAAAACCTTAGGCGCGGCGGTCAGAAATAACAAAATGAAACAAGCGATAACCATAGCAATCCTGATAGGCGATTGGCCCCCTGAAGTATTACAAATAGGTTGCTGGCCTTTAGGGAAACAGCTAGATTCTTAGCATGCATGCCTAGGTCACACATAGCGGGCTGCTTTCGCAAGTCAGGTTAAACTGTCATCAAACAACTAATGCACAAACCGTGCTTGCCATAAAAAAGAAAGAAGAAAGGAACCTATGCTGTCATAGTTGGGGTTTTTGGCGGGGCGGTCTACGTCATGTTTTAATTTAATCTTTAAATTCGTGCATAGTGGATATTGTGAAATAAAATTGGTGTGATTTTGTGTTACAACCGTCTGCGCAACTGAAAATTTGTGGAATCTTTAAAATATACGCTATTGCGGTCAAGAGTACGTGAGAATTTTATTGTAGTATTGACTACCTCACAGAAGTTTACCGAAAAATCCAACTCGATACATTTCGTGCCACAAGAAACATCAAAATGAGCAATCACACCGAACACTTTAATGTAAAAAAAACGAAGATTAATAATAGTAAGGATTTGGCAGTATTGGCATTGTTCCCTTTGCCTTCCCTATAAAGAGAGAATCAAAAAAAAATAAAAAAGAAGAAGGTTAGCTGTCCAATCAGAGATGGTTCCGCGCTCAATTCAGGATCTTCTTTTAAATAGCTGTACATATTTAAATTTATTATTAGCACCACTGTAGGGCAAATTTAAAATTGTAGATTATGTCATATGTTACTCATTATTTTGTTTTGTCTTTGTAAATATTTATTGAAGTGTTCAAATATTTTGCTACAGTCTTTATAACTTTGAAATGTTTTTCTTTTCTAGGTAATGGTATCGATTGGTAATGGGATGATTCTCTAAAGCTAAACTTAAATTTGACAACAGTGTATCCTTGTCATTCTCTTTATAGAATAAAAAGGACAGACTGATATTAAACTTAGTTTTAAGTTTAGAGAATGCTGCCAGAATTGACACCATTGTTGTCTTCTGTCATTATGACAGTCTTTTAGGTAGCTTTCCAATTGCAGCATTATAGCGCATTATGCGGCATAATGCTTAACGTTGAGTGTTCCAACTACAGCAACGCTTCGCACAATTGAGCACTCTCAAAAGTAATGCTTTCGTGTGATGCGTGCAATCGTACCAACTCAGAGACAGAAAATTAACAAGTGTTATTTCTTTAAGTTGGCATTGGTGTCGATTCTAGCATGATTTTCTAAACCTAAATTTAAATTTGGCAGCAGTATATCCTTGTCATTCTCTATACAGAATGAAAAAGAGAGACTGATGTTAAATTTAGTTTTAAGTTTAGAGAATCACGCCAGAATTGGCACCATTGATCGAAATGTTTTATTTATATGTTATCGTTAGTAATATTATTTATTGTTGAAAAATTATTAAAACTTTCGTTTCATCATAGTTTTTTTTAAATAATCAAAGTTAATTCAAACTGTGTTAAAAATTAAATATAAATATGGATGAAGGTACAAACAATGACTTTTTTTTCAACACTGAACTTAGCGCACTTTGCAGGTGATTTGAAAACTAATTCACGTTCCAATTAAGCATCAGCATAATTCGGCATTGTGCGCCACTGAGTCGCATTATGCTCTGTAATTGGAAAACCACCTTAGTTGCGTTCTTTAAAATATATATAGTAATTATTCTTCAATATAAAATAAACAAACTAAAGACGAGGCTGTATGGGCTTTAGTTCCCCTTGCCTTCCCTAAAAAGGGAGAATATTTAAAAAAAAAAGTTAGCTGTCATGTCAGTTGTAAACAAAAATAGGTTATCGATTTGGAATTTAACACGTTTTCCAACCTTTTCTTTGCTATTTAAATAAAAATCATAATGAACTTAGAGAAAAAGGTAATTAAGTATACATATTCACCCTACTTTTACTTTGACTTCATTGATTTATATAATTTCAATTACTTAACAATTTCATTTCAGAAACGTTATTTCGAAACGGATCCAGAAGTCTCAAAAACAGATGCAAATCAAAATAACAATGATTTCGAAGTTTACAATATCAAAATAAATCCAAAATCGTTAAAAAGGAAGCCTTCGCATTTTGTAAGTACCTATATATTTTATCCAGTGTAATAATTTAAAATTCAATGGATCCTTTCTAAACATCATAATTTTTAGAAAAACAAAAATGATGGTAAAGTATTGAAGAAAAAATTTAGTGGAAAAAGTCCCATTAACCCTGAAAAGTTGGAAAAGCATTCTAGGGGCGAGGGAATAGACCATAATAATGTGAAACATCCTCTCCATGCAGCTAAATTAAAGAAAAGAGAGAATAAACTAAACTATGCACAGAAACAAGCAGCAAGATCTGAAATATTACTTACAGAACAACAAGGGTAATTCATAATTTCATTACAATTTAATTATTGGGTGTGATGTTGATATATTTAAAATTTTGCAATCAAGACAGTGTATTCCTATATAGCTCAATTATTTATTAAAATACATTTCCAGGTCCCTTGTAGTGGAAGAGGGTGTTAAAACCACTTCCATATCACAAAAAACTATTAAGGAAAGTGTTGATATTGCTGCCGCAACAAAAATCTTTGACCTCAAACTAGACTTCGGCCCATATAGGGCAAAATACTCAAGAAATGGTAGACACTTACTTTTGGGTAGTGCAAAAGGTCATTTAGCTGCTTTTGACTGGGTAACTAAAAAACTGCATTGTGAAATCAATGTTATGGAGTCCATTCATGATATTAGGTTGGTGTAGTAATAAGTAAATATTGAGTTTGCACTTTTTTTAAAAAAATAAATTATATATTTCATATGTTTCTTTTAGTTGGCTACATGTAGAAACTATGATAGCAGCTGCACAAAAGGAATGGCTGTATATCTATGATAACACGGGAACAGAACTGCATTGTATTAAGAGATTGGACAAAATTTTGCGAATGGAATTTCTCCCTTATCACTTCTTGCTTGCAACTGTTGTAAGTATAAAAAGAAGATCAGATTTTAAAAGAAAGCAATATTATGTATCTAATAAAAAAATTTCCTTTCAGAATGAATATGGTTTCATGTCCTGGTTAGACATATCTATAGGGGAAATAGTATCTCATTATAATAATCACTTAGGACGGACTTCAGTGATGACTCAGAATCCATACAATGCTACTTTATGTCTAGGAAATTCAAAAGGAGTGGTATCATTATGGTCTCCTACAGTAAAGGAACCTCTAGCAAAAATACTATGTCATAAAACTCCTTTAACTGCCATTACAGTTGACAACAGAGGAATGTAAGTATTATTATATAAATATAATATTATTTTATTCTATTCAATCATCATACAATATATTCATTTGTTTATTAAGTTTTCATGCACACCACTCATTAAATAAAACACATAAACGGGTTCAAAGTGCCTCTTTTTATTACTTTTTGAAGTTTCACATCCTTTCTAGGCTGCGAAACCTTCTTTTCATTTGAAGTTTGACTTCAAAAATTCTGAAGACGAAGAAGTTGAAAAAGTAATAAACAGACGCATTTTGAACCCTTTTAAATGTGTTTCATTTAAACGTATCTATGCCTAAAGCATCTTAATTTTTTTTACAATATATATAATTAATTTCATCATCATTAGGTACATGGCTACATCTGGAGTTGATCGTAGTATGAAGATTTGGGATATCAGAAATTTAGATGGCCCAATACAGGATTATAGATTAAGAAGTGCACCTGTAGATCTGCAATTCTCACAAAAGGACATGTTGGCTGTTGGGCTAGGTGAAGTGGTAGAAATTTATAGGTAATTTTACTGTTCAAAATTACAATATATATTTATAATTTTTTAAGATATTATTGCATTAATTTTACATGTTGTGCTATAACTATGTATTGTTTCATTTTTAGTAATTGCTGCACACAAACTGTAGATAGACCTTATCTGAGACATAGAATGGCAAAGAGTATAAATAATTTCAAGTTTTGTCCCTATGAGGATGTTTTAGGTATTGGTACTTCAAATGGCTTCAGTAGCATAATAGTTCCAGGTAATACAAATGGTTTTTATTAATTATGATATGACCAAAAAAACAACAAGTCATCTTTAACTCAATTTTTTTACTCTACAGGGAGTGGGGAACCCAATTTCGATGCTTTGGAAAGTAATCCCTTCCAGACGAAAAAACAAAGAAAAGAAGCCGAGGTTAAGGCTCTTCTGGAAAAGATACCGGCAGAGCTCATTACTCTTAATCCATTTGATATAACTGAAGTTGATGTACCCTCAATGAAGGAACAGATGGAAGCAAAGAAGAAACTTTTGGTAAATTTAAAGCTACTTACATCTTGACATTCTTGAATACTTAAGATTGCTTTTTTTTTATTAAGAACCCTGCTAAATCATCACTAAAATATCCATTTTTGCTATTATACAAGTCCCTACATCATGCAGAAGCGCAAGCGCACATTGAGCCACCAGTGGCGATCAATAAACGCGACCACGCTCAGGCTCATTCGAGATATAAGGTCGAATCACCTAACTTTGCTAAAAAAGGTACAATCGACAGTGAAGTGTCGAGCCCACGTAGGACCCGTGTAAAATAGTTACCCTAGTGCATGTGCGCAATGCATATTAAAAGTAAAACTGCCTCTGACCATCGAACAAAATATATTGCACTATTGGTTCAGGTCATCCCTTTGAAAATCTATCCTATATCCTTGCCCTGGGACTCAAACTACCACCTAACTAAATTTCATTTCAATCAGTTTAGCGGTTTTAGCATGAAGAGATAACAGGCAGTCACACTTTCACATTTATAATATTAGTATGGATTATGTATGTTATATGTGATGATATTGACGTAATGTGTGTGAAAGTATAAATCTTTATATATATAATTCTTCTGTGAGGGTGTATGTCACTGAACTTCTCTTAAACGACTGGACCGATTTTGATGAAATTTTTTGTGTGTGTTCAAGGGGAACTCAGAATGGTTTAGATTCACAATTTTGTCCGCTGGACAACCCCTATTTTTTTAGGGCGGTACGAAGTTCGCTGGGTCAGCTAGTACAATATAAAAATACAAATACACATCTTTAAAGATTTCACTTCATACATACATATATGGTGAATACATGCACGAGCCTCGGATGGTTGCAGATGGATTAATCTGTATAGGCACATTGGTAGTATTTGCATCTCCTGTCAAGGAAAGCCACAATTCTTTATCATTCGGTTCAGCAAAGTCTAAGAAATAAAAATAGGGTTGTTTTGGTCAAAAACCTTGAAATATGTAGTTAAAGAGCTGCTGTCTCGTTAATCTTATGTAATGTTTCATAAGTAAATATAGTTTATTTTTTACAGTATTTGAAACCTAAGAAAATAGATTACACTCCAAGATATAAGAACAAAGGCAAAACAAATATAGCAAGGAAGAAGATAATCAAAGATGCAACCCGAAAGGTGGGTTTCTCAAATACAAATATTAATACAATACTTGAAATTTCTGTCACAATCTTGTCTTGCTAGTACTAACCTATACTTTTTCCGTTTCCTCTTTACAGGAACAAATTGAACAAGCTATTGAAGCTAAAAAACATCTGAATTTACCGACAGATCAAAATATACCAAAGCAGTCATTTGGTGTACTGAATCGTTTTGTTCCAAAGCCTAAAATTAAGAAATAAAACCGTTTTTTAAGTGGCTTGTTGATTTTTTAATGTCTTTTACCATTATAAGGTTTTCAATAATATTTACATGATTTCTGTATGTACACTTCACACAGTGTGAACATGATTAAGAATACAATTTTTAAATGTCTATAACAACACAAAAATATAAAAGTTCAAAAGTGTGTCTTAACAGGGAATATCAAATAAATCACATAAACCTTCTGAACCACAAAGAGAAAATGCAAAATCGTGTTTAGAAGGTGGTGGACTCAACCGCAACAAAAAATCTGAAAAGAAATATATCAAATTAACTAAACTCATAAAGTACAGCAAAAGTTACTAATGGGAAATAAAAATTTACCAATTTTTTACATAACACAAGTCTTGTTAGACTTTTAGGACAAGTTGTAAAATATTAAGTTTGAAATTCTGAGTGTGTTGTGCAGTGTTTCATTGCAGCAATTAATGAATTATACTTCTACTAACTACATGATGAACTGAGCCCTATATTTATTTATTTGCATTTGCGTAAAATATTGAAACCAAAATAACTTACTAGCATATTGTGTAACATCTAGGTCATTTTCCATGGTATTCTGGATCTCTGTATCCATGGCATCATCTTCTATGTCCTGTAGGAAATAAAATAATTTGAATTTATGTAATCTTTGAATTTCAAACTAAAATTATTATATTAATAGCACTAGGCTCAGTTGGCAAGCTGGAGGTGGACCGTCGATCTAGTAAAAATCTATTTTGTTAGGATAATATAAGGATGCCGTCATAATATAGCGGCCGTAATTTTGCAAACCCAAAAAGACCTAAAGATAAATTACCGCTTTCTAGAAAACGAGCCATTTTGTTTGCATAAACAACGTGCTAGTGACGTTACTCACCGCTGTATTACGGCCGCTTCATGAAGGCACCGCAATACTAGGATATCAGTACCCCAAGCAATAACTTTGACAGATCCGTACCCTCAGCACAAACCATTATTTTTATTCGATCTATTTTATATCTTAAATGTGTACTGATTTTAAGTTCTCTTTATGCCCGTTGTGACGCCTGCTGGTTCAAGTTTCCATACAAAATTTGCCAATAAAATTTTGCACTCGCAAACTATTCTATTTCGATTGTGGTTCGTGCTAAGGGTACGGATCTGTCAAAGTTAGTGCTTGGGGTACTGATATTCTATATTGCGGTGCCGTTATATAGCGGCCGTAATACAGCGGTGAATAACGAAGTTCTATGTTAGGGCTTTTGTTTCCGCACTTGGCGACACGAATATGGCATCCTTAGCGATGCCGTATTCGTGTCGCCATGTCAAAATTTCTATGGAAACTAAGCAGCGCCCCAGACGGACCAACAGGACATAAGAACAAACTAGCTCTTTCCATAGAAAGTGACGATGGCGATACGAATAGTTTCTGGATAGTTGTTCGTGCTTGGGGTACTGAGCTTAAAGGTCGCGGAAAGCCGATGGATGAATGGAAAGTGGCGTAGGACCGGAAGAAGAAGGCCTATGCTCGGTAGTGAGCATCGTACGATTGATATGATGATGAAACTTGTTAACTTATTGTATGTAAGTTACAGGTATACTTATATAAAGACGCAGGTGGTTACCGCATTTGACCTGCTATCGAGAAAGTTAAACAACTTTCGCAATGGTCGGTCATTGGATGGGTGGTCAAGAAGTTATTATCTCGAATTTCATCAACTAGTAATTCATAATGGTTATCCAAACCTTTAGTTCTTCTTTATCACACAGCAATATTACCCCAATTGGATCTTGGGACTTAACATGCAGGATGTAGTTGGACTCCTTCTCCTGTAATTGAAATAATATATTATTTAAATCTTTTGTATGGAGGGAAAGGACTTTTTCAATCATGCATGTCAGTCACATCATAACCTAAGCTATATATAACTAATACCTTTTTTTTTTTTTTTTTGTGACGAGGGGAAATGCAGTTACGCACATATATAACTAATACCTACTTACACAGAACAAATCTTATTTATAATTTAATGTACATCAGATAAATGAGTTTTTTTCCTATTATTTTATACTAGCAAACCAGTGAACCAAATGTTCACCAAAACCTGATTTAAAAAAAATGTATTTAATTAATTGAGAACTTCGGAGATTTTGTGTGGTTTTGTTTGAAATCCGTGATTTCTCGAAAACCGGAAGTGCTACGTTAGTCAAATCCGGTTTGTAGTCTTATCAGTCTATTCTTAACTTATAACTTAAATATTCTCTTTATCTATCTCTTACGGTTTGGCCGCTGAAACAGCACCACAGACGGACGGATGGACTTGTCTAATAGATATGAGATTATTGTACCAAATAATTAGTATAAAAAGTTCTAATTAATCCATGTTGATGATCTCCCTTTTCCAGCCATAGAGAAGGCTTGTTTCAAAGCTTTGAGGATATTATTGACTGATTTTTTAATAAAATAAATACCTTATTGGGCACTGTACTGGCTGCAAATTCTGCCCCTAGGGATGCTTCTAAAACTAACACTTGGTTGTCATCTTCAAAGCATTCTTTAATATCATTTTCTGTTACATATGCCAGGGCTTGATTATCTGTATCATCCAAGACATTTTTAATACTTTGTTCAATCCAGTGCAACTGCCTGAAAAATCAAAAAAATTAAAATACTCAATAACTATATAGGGTCATAGCTAAAGTTGTATTTAATATAGGGTGATAATAATAGGTAGGGCAATTATATGTTTATTTTGTTGTTGTATGTTGTGTTCTATAACGATCAAATTATTAAATGAATTCAACAGTGTACAAACAAAATTGTGTAATAAAACATCAAAATTTCAAGATTTTTTTTGTTTGTTTGTTTTTATAAATTACTCAATGAAATTTACTTTTGCCTGCTACAATACATTCGAAAAGCTTTATTACTAAATTTTACAGTGTAAAAAATCACATTCTATTCAATGGCTTTTGTTAAATAAATTATCGGAAACATGAACAGGTCATTAACACTGATTTTGTCTTTTTTTTTAACTAGTAAAAAAAATAATATTTAAGGGAACAGCCTATACTACTTGACTAAATTTTTTCCCCCCTACCCCCCATGATGACCCCCGTTGGTAGATGCAAAGACCCTATCCTCCCCCTCTAGTTTTCATGTAATATTTTATAACTATGTTTTTGCACATAGAAAGTAAAAGAAACCTAATTAAATTAGCTCATATTTGTCTTGATTAATATGGCACTTGCTGCATGAAATACATGCATGTACCATATTTATTGCAAGTAAAAAAAATTTATATCTTGAAAAGAAACCCCAGACTATGTGAGGTAAACCAAAGCCCTCCCACCTGTAACCAAGTGTGGTATTTTAAAGACATAGTACAAGTATGTTCCCCAAGTCTAACCACCTTATTCCATAACATGGATTAAAGTTAGCCTTGGTTAAACCTAATGTTGTCTGTCTTCCTTTTAGCAAACAAAAGCGAAGCTGCAGTTTGACATCAGCTAACTTTAGTCAACATTTGTAATAAGGCAGTAAAAGTTTACTGCTGCTGCACTTAAACAGTATATTCATGTTCAATGTAGATGCTGCGAGTTTGCTTGTCAAATTCTGATTAAGGCAGGCTAAAGTGAAATTGTGTAAATGCATGCAACAAATCTAAGCAGCACACTTTGTGAGACTAGTGCTGTATCTTCCCATTTTGATTTAATCTCTAAAGTTGTAAAAACTGGATGTGCTCTATTAAAATCTTGTGTATACCACTCACTTATTAAGTAATTGTTCATGTTCATCTAATTTTCCAATTTGCCAGCGCAGCAAAGTAACTTTTTCGCCAATACTGCTAGTCTTTCCATCAGGGCCAACACCTCTGCATATGAAAATATAATAATTAACAGAGTAACAGTTTTGGCATAAAAAAACACAATGAAAAATGTACTCACTTCCATTGTATGCTATTTTTACTTTTCTTTTCAATTAATCCAATTCCTTCTAAAACATTAGTAATATCATATATCCTTCTTTTTTGTCTAACGGCCAAAAGCTCAGTGGCCTGAAAAATGCATCACATTAATTTTTCGTGTGTAAATATCACCAAAACACAGTTTGACAGTTCATCAATCCTGCAAATACTTACAATTTTTAAATCTAGCACCCCATCTTTAGCCTTTTGCAGTAGGGATACAAATCTTGTTGTGAGTAAACCGAGTGACTTTTCGTATCTCTTATATCTATCAGCCATTTTGTCAAGATTTTATTGAAATATAACAGTTATTTTTCTGTTCCTTATTTTGTTAATTTGCGTCTCGCGGCGTTGGGTTACTACGTTAAAGTTGGTAGCCCTGTATATTAATAGAAAAAACCATGGACGTACTATATCAACATGACAGTACTTTTGCTGATTTACCGGTCCAAACGAGATACAGACCAGCCCCTCTAGCATGACAACTGAAACGGGATATGATAAAGCGATATATCGGCATTAACTGTCAGACTATAGTGGTGTTTGACAGTAGTATGACAGTTAATGCCGATATATCGCTTTATCATATCCCGTTTCGGCGGTCATGCTAGAGAGGCAGGTCTTTTACCACTTTCTAATAGGATAACAGTAATCGTGTCGACACGACACGACACGTAAAAATGTTTGTAACCATAGGTAGCTTTCCAATTACAGCATTATAGCGCATTATGCAGCATAATGCTTAACGTTGAGTGTTCCAACTACAGCAACGCTTCGCACAATTGGCACTAGGGACACGAAAAAAGTATCGACACTTTGTGGTATCGAGTACTTTTCCTTTCGATACCGATACTTTTGTACTCGATACTTTGTATTCGATACTTTTACTAAATGAGTACTTTTTGGCAAGTATCAATACTTTTAAAAATTTGGATAAGCGCCTCATATTGATGGCAACGCCATCTTGTTAAATCATAGCAAACCTTCCAAAACGTTCCATAGGGTATTTGATATGTATTAGGCAACGATCTCACGTTATTGACTAATGTTTATGTAGTCCGTAAAAAGTGGATATTTATCATTATGTCGTGTATTTCAGTAAAAATAACCAAATCAAAAACTCATTTTCAAGTTGCCGCGAAAACGTTTCTCTGGACAATATGGCGTCTTACTAGTGTGTGACGTCACACGATTGTTATTAAAACGTCAAACGATACAATGTAATGTCACTTTGACCGGAAGTTTACTTGCGTGTGACGTCATTTTACGCTCCGCCCAACCCAAGCGTTTTGGGTTACGTGACAATAGATAAGAAAATTAATATCTTTTTCGTTATTTTGGCACTTTATTTTTAATACTGTCAAATGCCCTATTGCCTAAGGGTGCGGCCAGAGTGCACTCAGATTCAGATTCTGAAAACAAGCGCGAGAAATAAACAGTGTAGTCTAAGCAGGTTGCCTGCTTTTTCTCGGGCTTTGTTTTCTGAGTCTGAATCAGAATCAGGAGTGCACTCTGGCCGTACCATTCGACTACACTGTTTATTTCTCGCGCTTGTTTTCGGAATCTGAATCTGAATCTGAGTGCACTCTGGCCGCACCCTAATGCTTTCGTGTGATGCGTGCAATAGTACCAACTCAGAGACAGAAAATTAACAAGTGTTTTTTCTTTAAGTTGGCATTGATCGAATGTTTTATTTATATGTTATCGTTAGTAATATTATTTAGTGTAAAAAATTATTAAAACTTTCGTTTCATCATAGTTTTTTTTTAAATAATCAAAGTTAATTCAAACTGTGTTAAAAATTAAATATAAATATGGTGAAGGTACAAACACTGACTTTTTTTTCAACACTGAACTTAGCGCACTCTGCTGGTGCATTTGAAAACTAATTCACGTTCCAATTAAGCATCAGCATAATTGGGCATTGTGCGGCACTGAGTCGCATTATGCTCTGTAATTGGAAAGCAACCATAGTAAATGTATGAAACCGATGTACTTCTGGCGCGCCACGACACATTAATATGTTTCTGCCTTTAAGTCGAGTCCTTAAGAGGGTTTTAGCCAAATCTATTTTTCTTTTTTATCGCAACCTGTTCCTTTCTGAATATTACTTTTACAAAATAATGTCAATGTTTCATATCTGCCAGGCGTCCCGTGACGGCTCTATTTTTTTTTCTACATGAATCTATTGTTTTTCTAGGATACGATATTTCTTTTTTAAATTGCATGTTGAGCTGTGTTTTCCACCATTGAGAATGTAGGTAAATAAATTAATTATAATGAAATAAATATTTTATTGTCTAAAACAAAAACGAGCTTTGAGGGGCGGCAGAAGCCGAAGAATGCGGCTTCGACATTCTAATGTAAAAAAAGAAGATTAAGTGTCGCTGCACACGGGCCACACGCCACAGCCACAAACGCCGCCACGAGAAGCTAGAAGCGGCTACTAAAATGGCTGATGCACTCGACAGCGGTCAACTAAGGTAAGAGAGAGAGGGGTGTGAGTGACGTGTGGCGGCGTTTTGTATCGGCACATTAAGTTAGCGATGCGCGACTACGAATGATTTTACCTTTCGACTAATTCGTTACTACTAATTTGGCTATTCGAAAGGCAAATTAGTAGTATACTAATGTCATTATTCGAATAACGACTACTAATTAGTAATACTAATTTCAAATTTACAAGAGCGCAACGAATAAGCTTAGTTTATTCATACATTCGTTCATAATTTGCCTTATTTCAGTTAATTTCCGTACGTTCGTATTTGGCACCTGCTACGATAGTCTTGTATCTGTTATAAGGTAATTTTTTTTGCAGTGAAAACTGTATTCACCAGTGAATTTGTTTATTATTACTTGATTTATATATATTTTTAATATAAAGAGTTCATATATCGACGTAATCATTAAAAAACGATTGAGAGTAGAGTACCCTATTGACTCTGCTTATCTCTTTCACTCGTCGAGTTCGCCCGACCAAGCCCGAGTCGATCGAGAGTCGGTTAGTCGCCGCCCGATACCTTCGACTCCAGTCGAATGATATGAAGCGCAGTCGACTTGGTCGAATGGATTCGTGGAGTCGAATGATTAGTATTAGTATTATTCGAAGTCGCGCATCGTTACATTAAGTGGCCGGTGCAGGCCACAAGAAGCGAGCAACGACGATTTGTAGCGTGTGGCGGCCACCGGCGTACCGTGTGTGGCGAGTTCATATAAAATGTATGAAAACTACAAGAAATATGCCGGTGGCGACGTTTTGTGGTTGTGGTCGGTGGGTGGCCCATGTGCGGCGACACTAAGGGTACGGCCAGAGTGCACTCAGATTCAGATTCCGAAAACAAGCGCATGAAATAAACAGTGTAGTCTAAGCAGGTTGCCTGCTTTTTCTCGCGCTTTGTTTTCTGAGTCTGAATCTGAATTAGGAGTGCACTCTGGCCGTACCCTTCGACTACACTGTTTATTTCTCGCGCTTGTTTTCGGAATCTGAATCTGAGTGCACTCTGGCCGCACCCTTAGATTAGGGATGTCGAAAGTTGAAAAAAATATCGATATATCGATATTTTAAAAAATATCAATATCGGCTTCGATATATCGCGCAAAAAAAATATCGATATATCGGGCCAATTTTTCCAAAAATATATTTAGGTCAGCCTAGCATAGTAATAATAGTTCAATACAAATTATAATTAAAGAAAGAATTATCAAAGTACCAAATTGCCGCTACACTACATGACAGTACAGTATCTTTCTCCATCCATCCATTTCCATCTTTCGTAAACACGACTAGACAGTCACACACTTCCACAGAATATAATGGAAATCAGCACAACCAATTCACCAGCGAAACAGATTTACAAATAATAGACAATACTAAATACAGCACAGATCATAGATATGTTGAATATCATTAATCTGAGATCTAGTTACGATTTTTTTTTACGACGAATTTAGTTAGATCGTGATATGCCGCTAATAATTAAAAAAATATCGTTTTCGATACGAATTTCGATATTAGTTATTTTGTATCGATATATCGAATCAAAATATATCGGCAAAAAATATCGATATATCGAACAAAAAATATCGGAATATCGATACATCGATATATTTTCAACAAGCCTACCTTAGATTTGTATTTATGTCACAGACATAATAATTTTATGTCTGTGATTTATGTTACTTACTATTACGTTCCTTGGATTTATGTATGTATACGGCTAAAGAACCTGTCTCCATGGTAAACTGTGTCGTGTTCGCATCTGTCAGAAGAGTACAGTACATTGATAAAATAGAAAAGAAATAGATGTTCCTTGGGTTATAGTTAATTTCCTTTGGAGAATATGAACGAGAAAATAAACAGTAATGTTTCGGTTTTGTCGGTATTAGATAATCAATGTAAGTAAACAAACAGATGTCGATGTTAGTAAACAAACATGAAGGGTTTCTACAACTTTTTAAATTTAAGATCTACAATACTTTATCATGTTTTATTCTTCGATAGGTTCAACCTCATCAGTTTTTAAACCTGATATAAATATGGAAAGTTACCGTAACCCTAATCCCCCTCACAATATTAGCCACCCTCATAGTCAAGAGCAAGTTGTAGCTCACCAGGAAGCAGACAATCCAGACAGTAACAAGCAAAGTATGACATTTTAATGCATATTTAATTATAGATACAATTAGGGCTATTAAAATACTAACTTTCATGCAGGTATCCTATGGACGAAAAATTCAACAGTCACTCTTTTAAGTTTTTATGAAATAAAAATGGGCATGTGTGATAATCCGAAGAAGAAGTCTAAAATGTGGGTTTCTATAGCTGAGGAGCTTAAAGGTGTGGGTATTGAGGTATGTCAGTAAGTTCTTTTGACAAATTTATCAAATCTTCACATGTAACTTAAAATCTCTGATATAATTTACAGGTTTCTGCAGATCAAGTTAGGTGGAAAATAAATGCACTGACAAAAAAATATAAAGACTGCATAGATAATGGACAAGGAGAATTAGGATTTAAATACTTTAATGAAATGCACCAAATACTTGGGCAAAACAATGAAACTGGAGGATCCTATAGATTATCATCTGGAATGCAAATTCAAGACTCCTCTGAAAAGGAACAAAAAAAGAGACTTGGTATGACTCAAAAAAATACACCTTTTAGAAGATTAAGAGCTGAGCGAAGAGCGAAGATTGAGTTAGATAAGCTTTGGTTTGATTATATACAGAAACAAGACGCACTAAAGCATTTAAGAGATGAAAGGTATGAAAGGAGTTTGCGTTTAAGAGAAGAAGAGTTACAACTAAAAAAAAAGGAATTAGAAATTAAGCAATCATTGGCTTTAAAAAAATTACAACTTAAAGAGAGAAAACATGAAGAAATAATTAAAATTGAGAGGGAGAAGTGTCTTTTATTGAGGAAATTACTGGAAAATCAGTAATTTGACATTAGCTACAAACATGTATGTTTATTTAAGTGGGAGTCATTTATGCAGAAAAAAACAGTTACGAGTTAATTATTCTTGTTCATCTAAATAATCATTTTCCAGATGGCAATAATTGTGTAATATACAAGCGGCAACAATAGTATCTATAATGAAATTAATATTTCTATAGACATTAAAAACTTTTATTCTTCGAAACCGTCCTTTCAATAGACTAAAAGCTCTATTACTGATCTTACGACTCTGTAAATGTTTGCAATTTAATTGCCGTTGGTAAGTAGTAAGTCTTTTATTTTCTCTAAAAGGCGGAAGTAGCCAAGGCAAAGTTGGATATCCTGAATGGCCAACTAGAAATGTATTATGTGGAAACAGCATAGATCTATTATCTGAAGCTGTAACATACAGGGGAGATTTCTTTAAAACTTGTGTGCAGCTATTGGAACCTGGTTCTCCACAAAATATGTTTGTAAATCTTAAATTAGAATCTACAGTAGCTTGTAAAATTATTGAATAATATCCTTTATTATTATTATATTCTCTTCCATTTTTAAGTTTTTTTATTTTGATATGAGTTGTGTCTATAACTCCTAAAACATCTGATATACCAGTCTTGGTATAAAAGGAGTTGCATATTGATGTTATTTCATCATAGTCATTGGGCCATTTAATTGCTTCATTCAATTTTGTCAAAATCCAAGCAACAATCTTGCGTACTACTCTGAATGTGGAAGATATGGATATGTCAAATCTACTTGCGATTGGGGTCAGTGTTTCTGTGTTTCCCATAAATGATAAAAATATATAGAAACACAGTCTAGGTTCCAATGGCTTTAAACCAAAATTGTGGGAAGCGATGGCTCCAGATTTTTCCAAATCATCTGAAAAAGATTTTTTATGAGGTACATATTTAATAATTGTCAAAAGATTATTAAAGAATAACACAAAGTTTACCTATGAGTCTAAAGGCTGTTTTCCTTGATAAACGCAGACGTTTTTTAAATTCATAATCAGTCCAAGACTCTATAATATGCAAATAATCGTCAACGCGCTTTCGTCGTAGTCTTATCAAATAATGCATTAATGGAAAAAAAAGCCTATCGTCGTCGGGATCTTCTACATCATCATCCAAATCAGATTCCTGTTTAATACTTAAACTATCACCCCAGCTTGTATCCGAATCATCGGAGCTGATCAGTGTGGTTTCAGTTAGTAAAAGTAATATTTTTTGTGTATCCATCAGTTCCAAGCAAGTTACAGTTCATTTAACGCAGAGATCACTATTTCAATATTATATAGCAAAGTAATTTAACTTTTGATTTCATTAAATTGCAACATTTGTAAATGAGTGTTTTATTATTGTACATACAAGAGGTGGTACAATGGTGTCGATTCTAGCATGATTCTCTTAAACCTAAACTCAAATTTGACAGCAGTATATCCTTGTCATTCTCTATACAGAATGAAAAGGAGAGACTGATGTTAAATTTAGTTTTAAGTTTAGGGAATCACGCCAGAATTGGCACCAATAACAATACATTTGTCCCGGGCAAGACCACAGATTACTAATGGTAGCCATACACACTACGAGAAATCGTTACGATTAGACTGTACCGTCCGAACGGTACCGATAAATCGTTGCGTGTATGTTATAAAACTGCACAGTTTCCTATACGTACGCCACGTACGATAAACTGTTCCGTTCGAACTGTACAGTCTGATTGTAACGATTTCTCGTAGTGTGTATGGCTACCACACAGACATATAACTAGTAGCAGACGGAATATTCAGTTTTAAACAGGGTGGCAAATACACACACATTGAAACTCACCAAAGCATGGGCCGCATTTAGTATAGTAGAATAATGGATGTCATTATTGTTTCATGAAATACCTATCCGAATAGATAGATCCTAATGTGATGTCCATGCTAATAATATTATAAATGTAAAAATCTGTCTGTTTAATATCTTCAGGGCGAATTTAGCCAGGCGAAATCGCTGAACCGATAATGATGAAATTGAGCACGGAGATAAAATTAACACAGGGAAAAGACATAGGTACAATTAGGAAAAGTGCCAGTGTGCTGCAGGATGCCCCAGTCTGCGGTGAGTCGAGACGGGTGGGGTGAAGGCGCGTCGCCAGTGCTGCAGAGTTGCTCCAGTCTACGGTGAGTCGAGACAGGTGGAGTGTGACGGTGGGTCCGAGCTGCTGGTGTGAAGGGCTGCCACGCCGGTGTGCTTGCGGCCGACAAGTGAGGTACCGGTCGTGGGCTGCGGAGACCAGGTCGGGATGATGCCGTCGAGTGCTGCCAAACACCTCCGGTCTCGGAGGGGAGTGATGTGGCGGCGACATCTATATGCTCCACAGATATACAACGGCTGTAAGAAATCATTACTCACCATCCTCAAGAGATGGCGTTACCTGCACTGCGATCATAACAGAACATTGGCATCGGTAGGTATATAACCCAAATAGCCACATAAACAATTTCGTTCTAGGTTTCCAAAGGATGAAAGTACTCGGAATGCATGGTTAAAATATATGAAACGTCAGGATTGGCAACCAAATACTTATAGTGTTTTAAGTGTTTTTTGTTTTAAAATAAACAAAAATAATGATTTTAAAAGCTGGATTTAATGTGATTATGTCGATTATTCACTATTTGACTAGAACAATCCAGATCATGACATAAACCATGTCCACTTGCTTATTAAAGTTGTTGTCAAATTTTATTTTGATTTTAGATGTAAACATCAATGTAAAGAAACAAATGTATCTCAGAGAAATTTACTAAAGAAACTTGTATTATTTCAAAATAAAAAGATAAAAACTATGCCTTAAATTTTTATTTCAATTTTCCTAATTGTACCTATGTCTTTTCCCTGTGTTAATTTTATCTCCGTGCTCAATTTCATCATTATCGGTTCAGCGATTTCGCCTGGCTAAATTCGCCCTGAAGATATTAAACAGACAGATTTTTACATTTATAATATTATTAGCATGGACATCACATTAGGATCTATCTATTCGGATAGGTATTTCATGAAACAATAATGACATCCATTATTCTACTATACTAAATGCGGCCCATGCTTTGGTGAGTTTCAATGTGTGTGTATTTGCCACCCTGTTTAAAACTGAATATTCCGTCTGCTACTAGTTATATGTCTGTGGTTTTGACAAAGTTTTTTTTCGGTATATCTATATATTTATAAAAATATGGAATCGAAAAAACTAACGCTGACTCATAATGACAATAAAACCAAAGTAAAGGAGATTGGTAAACCGAGTGTCAATGAAATGTATCATGTACATACCAGTAGCGGGATATATTGAATTTATAGATCATAATGCTAGTAAAATTTCCCAAAAATTAAAAAATCAACAAAACAATATGTCTTCCACGCTCTTTAGGGTCATGAAGGTATCTTCTTTTGCATGGAGAAGAAGGAGAAGTCATGACTTCTCCTTGTTTGTTTTAATATTTGAATTCCCATAAATAAAAGTTAGGGTCATCCTATTAGAAAGGAATAAAAGGCCTCCGTTCTCTATTTCGCGCTCATTCCGTTTTGTTGGTAACAGTGGTGTCCTCTTTATATTATACACCGTGAATTATGAGTTACTTAAGAAACTTAACTAGCTATTTCAGAAAATGATTAAGATTATATTTCTGCAAAAAAAATATTTTGCAAATATGTACTTTTTTCAAAAAAAATCTCTACCTTAGCTCACTATTTGTGTAATACAAAAAACCTTATCAATTTTTTTAAGCATATTGATTCAAATAAATCCAATTAGAAATTTGGCAAAATCTAAAAAAATATTTTCGAACGCTATCCTCAATTAGTCAACAAACAAAGAAACAGAATGAAAGGCAAAAGGCTTAGTAAACTTTTATTCCAAAAAAGTATTGTAAGCAATAAAATATTTCGACTATAAATTTGTAGTGTTTCACTTACATGTATAAAAATCATCTCACCACCGTCTTACTCGTAATAGTATTGTAGGAAGGCCAAAGGGGAAGATCTTCCTCCGAGCTGGGTGATGGTAGCTCGGGGGCCGCGGCCCGACTGATGTTGGTCGGGCATCGTATATATGAAGAGTTAGCCTCCGAATTTCATTTGCGCGATGTAGGCTTCCATACTATTATGATCGCAGTGCAGGTAACGCCATCTCTTGAGGATGGTGAGTAACGATTTCTTACAGCCGTTGTATATCTGTGGAGCATATAGATGTCGCCGCCACATCACTCCCCTCCGAGACCGGAGGTGTTTGGCAGCACTCGACGGCATCATCCCGACCTGGTCTCCGCAGCCCACGACCGGTACCTCACTTGTCGGCCGCAAGCACACCGGCGTGGCAGCCCTTCACACCAGCAGCTCGGACCCACCGTCACACTCCACCTGTCTCGACTCACCGTAGACTGGAGCAACTCTGCAGCACTGGCGACGCGCCTTCACCCCACCCGTCTCGACTCACCGCAGACTGGGGCATCCTGCAGCACACTGGCACTTGCAAGCTCGACTGACGCACTGACTGCTGAAAACACTGACCATCGACCTCCGGTCTCGGAGAGGAGTGATGTGGCGGCGACATCTATATGCCCCGCATATATACAACGGATGGAGGAAATCGTTACTCACCATCCTCAAGAGATGGCGTTACCTGCACTGCGATCATAATAGTATGGAAGCCTACATCGCGCAAATGAAATTCGGAGGCTAACTCTTCATATATACGATGCCCGACCAACATCAGTCGGGCCGCGGCCCCCGAGCTACCATCACCCAGCTCGGAGGAAGATCTTCCCCTTTGGCCTTCCTACAATACTATTACGAGTAAGACGGTGGTGAGATGATTTTTATACATGTAAGTGAAACACTACAAATTTATAGTCGAAATATTTTATTGCTTACAATACTTTTTTGGAATAAAAGTTTACTAAGCCTTTTGCCTTTCATTCTGTTTCTTTGTTTGTTGACTAATTGAGGATAGCGTTCGAAAATATTTTTTTAGATTTTGCCAAATTTCTAATTGGATTTATTTGAATCAATATGCTTAAAAAAATTGATAAGGTTTTTTGTATTACACAAATAGTGAGCTAAGGTAGAGATTTTTTTTGAAAAAAGTACATATTTGCAAAATATTTTTTTTGCAGAAATATAATCTTAATCATTTTCTGAAATAGCTAGTTAAGTTTCTTAAGTAACTCATAATTCACGGTGTATAATATAAAGAGGACACCACTGTTACCAACAAAACGGAATGAGCGCGAAATAGAGAACGGAGGCCTTTTATTCCTTTCTAATAGGATGACCCTAACTTTTATTTATGGGAATTCAAATATTAAAACAAACAAGGAGAAGTCATGACTTCTCCTTCTTCTCCATGCAAAAGAAGATACCTTCATGACCCTAAAGAGCGTGGAAGACATATTGTTTTGTTGATTTTTTAATTTTTGGGAAATTTTACTAGCATTATGATCTATAAATTCAATATATCCCGCTACTGGTATGTACATGATACATTTCATTGACACTCGGTTTACCAATCTCCTTTACTTTGGTTTTATTGTCATTATGAGTCAGCGTTAGTTTTTTCGATTCCATATTTTTATAAATATATAGATATACCGAAAAAAAACTTTGTCAAAACCACAGACATATAACTAGTAGCAGACGGAATATTCAGTTTTAAACAGGGTGGCAAATACACACACATTGAAACTCACCAAAGCATGGGCCGCATTTAGTATAGTAGAATAATGGATGTCATTATTGTTTCATGAAATACCTATCCGAATAGATAGATCCTAATGTGATGTCCATGCTAATAATATTATAAATGTAAAAATCTGTCTGTTTAATATCTTCAGGGCGAATTTAGCCAGGCGAAATCGCTGAACCGATAATGATGAAATTGAGCACGGAGATAAAATTAACACAGGGAAAAGACATAGGTACAATTAGGAAAAGTGCCAGTGTGCTGCAGGATGCCCCAGTCTGCGGTGAGTCGAGACGGGTGGGGTGAAGGCGCGTCGCCAGTGCTGCAGAGTTGCTCCAGTCTACGGTGAGTCGAGACAGGTGGAGTGTGACGGTGGGTCCGAGCTGCTGGTGTGAAGGGCTGCCACGCCGGTGTGCTTGCGGCCGACAAGTGAGGTACCGGTCGTGGGCTGCGGAGACCAGGTCGGGATGATGCCGTCGAGTGCTGCCAAACACCTCCGGTCTCGGAGGGGAGTGATGTGGCGGCGACATCTATATGCTCCACAGATATACAACGGCTGTAAGAAATCATTACTCACCATCCTCAAGAGATGGCGTTACCTGCACTGCGATCATAATAGTATGGAAGCCTACATCGCGCAAATGAAATTCGGAGGCTAACTCTTCATATATACGATGCCCGACCAACATCAGTCGGGCCGCGGCCCCCGAGCTACCATCACCCAGCTCGGAGGAAGATCTTCCCCTTTGGCCTTCCTACAATACTATTACGAGTAAGACGGTGGTGAGATGATTTTTATACATGTAAGTGAAACACTACAAATTTATAGTCGAAATATTTTATTGCTTACAATACTTTTTTGGAATAAAAGTTTACTAAGCCTTTTGCCTTTCATTCTGTTTCTTTGTTGGTTGACTAATTGAGGATAACGCTCGAAAATATTTTTTTAGATTTTGCCAAATTTCTAATTGGATTTATTTGAATCAATATGCTTAAAAATTATTGTTACCTGCACTGCGATCAATATTAGTATGGAAGCCTATATCGCGCAAATGAAATTCGAAGGCTAACTCTTCATATATACGATGCCCGACCAACATCAGTTGGGCCGCGGCCCCCGAGCTACCATCATCCAGCTCGGAGGAAGATCTTCCCCTTTGGCCTTCCTACAATATGTATTGTTTGATATCCCACCAATATTAGAAAAATCTCGATGTCAAAAATCACTTTTATAGAATATCGAAATATGGACACAAAATTACTTGTTTATAAAAATATAGATGATGGTTGCTTTCCAATTACAGCATTATAGCGCATTATGCGGCATAATGCTTAACGTTGAGTGTTCCAACTACAGCAACGCTTCGCACAATTGAGCAGTCTCAAAAGTGATGCTTTCGTGTGATGCGTGCAATCGTACCAACTTAGAGACAGAAAATTAACAAGTTTTTTTTTTTAAGTTGGCATTGATCGAAATGTTTTATTTATATGTTAGCGTTAGTAATATTATTTATTGTTGAAAAATAATTAAAGGTTTCATTTCATTAAATAGTTTTTTTTAAATAATCAAAGTTCATTCGAACTGTTAAAAAATAAATATAAGTATGGATGAAGGTACAAACATTGATTTTTTTTATCAACACTGAACTTAGCGCACTCTGCTGGTGCATTTGAAAACTAATTCACGTTCCAATTACGCATCAGCATAATTCAGCATTGTGCGGCACTGAGTCGCATTATGCTTTGTAATTGGAAAGCAACCAAAGAATGGTGCAGTCTTGGGGTAGAACTATGTAAAGACGCCATTTTCGTTTACCAATAACTTTTGGTAGGTATACATTTTTTTCTTAGGTATGCCATCTCCATAGGTTTCAGTGCTTAGAGTTATTTGCTCAGTGTTTGACATTTGACAAGTCAGTGGTGAAGTGACGTTTCTTCGGTGCTTTTTTCTCATCCAAATCAGCAATACACTGAAGATTTATTGTTCTTGTTATAATAAATGAATCAGACTCAGTAAATTCTCTTGGTAATTACCAAGTCTTAAATTGATTTAATAATGGCAAGTTGTGGTGACTTTATTAAAAGTCAATTTCCGCTAATTGATGATGAGCTGAAGAAATATGTTGAAGGTATATAGGTTATAAAATGTAATGTAGTCCAAAGCATATTTTTATTAGTATTTGAATCAGGGTTTATTATTCACCAAGTTATTTAGCTTTAAATTCCTTATTTCCCTCGTTTACAATAAATGATATGATTATCACACTTTAACTTTATTTAGCAATTTAGCATTGAGAACACGATATTATTGCATCTATCCTAATTTCTTAGATGTACTAGAAGGAAGTGCTGGTGAATTTGAAGATACAGAAGAGGTGTATGAAGCTGTAGGAGAGGTATTACAAGGTATTTCTGAAAAGTCAGAAAAAGATATCAGGTAAATATTTCATATCTTTTATTGTTAAATAATTTGCATGAAATATTATTTTTAATTAATTTTACTAATTTCTATCCTAGGCTTAAGGATCTGATCAGATATCTGATCAGTAGGAAATGTTTCAACTTCAGTTTGTTTTATTTGATAATATATATATATATATATATATAATAAGTAATTTAATAATTTCTTTATTGGAACCAATTTACATATATTGAGTAGATCTGGGATTAGGGCAAATTATTTTTCATACCCTAAGTAATAGGGTTGGTATACCCCATCTATTTTTATTTTTGGATAAAATTTATTTATGATTTGGCATTAAAAATACATACGAACCTATAGTTTCACCCTTCTGCCACCATCCCCTATTTTTATGACAGTATGAAGATTGGTGGGTCAGGTAGTAAAATTATAGAAATTTGTAATAAGTAATATACATCAATAATGGAATTTTAGATAATTTTGTGCATTAGATAATTGCCATTTCGTAAATAAAATTGCAGGGATATATGTGAACAGTTGTTACATATGTTACAACCCGAAAAAACCAATAGCAGTAATGGTCTAAGAAAAGTATTAGATGCACCAATCCATTTAGCTTCCATGACATCAACTGTTCCTGAAAATGATGATCTCAAAAGTATATGGCTGCAAACAAGAGATGATAGCTTAGTAAGTGATATTTTTTTATTGGCACCAAGTGAAATGGGTACATTTAATTAAAAATAAATGTCTTTGTTCTTTTCTTTATTATTTTTTCAGTGAAATATTAAGCTCTAAATGTTTGTAGAAACTGTACAGGTGTGAATTTCTTATTCTACATATTATTTTAATAAAGTATGTGTTGGACTCGCGCAAGTAGAGTTACATACCATTATATACAATATTAGACATTTTATTAAAATAACGAGCAAAAAACAGAAAAAGAATCATGTCTGTTGTATCCCTATCCCTTAAATATTTATTTTATTTTAATTACAATAATAAAAAATTAAATTTAGAGAGTACATTTCTTTTGCTTATGTCCATTTTATAATTTTTAATAACTTTTTTTGGATATAAGATTAATAGTTCTATCTTTTATAGAAAGTAGATGCACGGAAATTAGAAAAAGCAGAAGCAAAATTGCAACAGAAGCAACAAAAACAAAAGGAAAACAAGGTTCCAGTGTCTGCCCCAGTTCTGCAAACGGCTACAGCTTCCCAAGTTACTTCAAAGAAAGACAGTAAATTAGAAGCTAAAGGAACTAATAGAACACAAGATATTAGAATAGAAAATTTCGACATTGCGTATGGTGACAGGTAAGCAAATTTATTTTATGAACCATCCAATTCTTGTTTATAATATTAGTAGGACTAAGATATGATAGGATTGCCACCTTTGTTTATTTTTAATTTTGTCGATTTTTTTCTCTATAAACAAATTATGCATCTTCAAAATCTTTTCCAACTCTTACATACGAGCTGTTTATTTTTATATGTATCAAGTGCCTGCTTCATACTTTTGTTCTGCTTTATTGGATTGTTTGTTATCAAATATTTGTATTGTTTCTACATAAAAAGTATTTGTGTATAGGGACAGAACCAGACTAATTGTGGCATAATGACTAATTCGCATGATATTTGACAGAATGGAGTTTATTTTTGGATCTCTTTTTACTATATTTATATCCAAGAAAATTGAATTTTCTCAAATAATTAATTTTCTGTAAGATAAAAATCATTTGAATACCGTCATTTGCGCCTAAAATTAAGTGATCCGAATCCAGCAGGTGAACATAACTTTTTGGAGCCAATTAAATTCTGTATTGAAAGAGTATGTAAAACTTTAAACTCAGTGAATTCTCAGTAGTATAGCCAAAAGTTAGACACCAGGAAAATATCTCATTTAATTGCCAACTTGAATTAGGACTTTCCATAAATTACATCAAATGAGTAAAGAAAGGTACAGTCTGTACTGAAAGCTTCATACAACCGCGTGGCGATCGCTCGGCGATTCCCTACTATAAGCAAGACGCACGTGTTTGAGTTAGCACTGATTGCTTGTCACACGTCAGTGCCAGTGCTCAAATGCCCTGCATTCACGGCACACTCGGGTCGTTGAAATGAAATGAAATGAAATGAAAAGTCATTTATTCAGTCTAGGCTGTTACAAGCACTTGTGAAAGTCAAGAAGCTACGCCATCGGTTCGCAAAACTACGGCGGGAGACCTTGTACTGAGAAGAACCGGCAAGAAACTCAGCAAGGGCTGCTTTTTTCTCCCTGTATTGATATATACAGAGTCGTCAAGTTGAAAAATGACTTCAGACATACTTCTGAAGTCACCTTCCATTACATTATTTAGGGTATAGATATATAGTTACAACAAATTTTATATTTAGTATATATAGGAAGCGGCATTAGATAGGTACCATACTACTATTACAAAACTGACTCATACCCATCAAATAAGAAATTACAAGAAACACTATGTCCATGCATTACGATCATTTAGATAATCATTAACTTTATAATAGCCCTTATTCATAAGAGTATTCTTAATCTGAGATTTAAATTTGGTTAGTGGAAGCTCAATCAGATCTTGGGGAACTTTGTTAAACAATGCAATACTACATCCCAGAAATGAACCGAACCTCTAGATTTTTGGAGTCTGAAACATGGAACGGCAAGCTTGTTCTTAAATCTCGTGTTTAAGTTATGTGTTTGACTTTTTTTTGCAAATGCGTCATAGTTTCTTCTTACATATATTATATTTTCATAGATGTATTGCGATGCCAGTGTTAAAATATTTTTTTTTTTTTTTTTTTTTTTTTTTTTTTATTAATTGTAATTTGCGATCAGTGCATTCCACTATAAGCAAATGTGTTGGATGAATATTGGGGTGTCAGAGTGTGCCCTTCAGTAAGGACATCTCCTCCTTAATTCTCTTTAGAGGACGTCTTTCCTTTTGAGTCGTTTGTTATAACTCCGAGTCATGAGTTGTGTTGCTAGGATGTTCGGGTGAGTCTCCAGCCTAGCCCGGTATTTCTGAGTCGCAATGGTTATTTCTTCCTTGACTGTTGACATTTCCAGGTGTTCATGAATTTCATTATTAGTGATATACCATGGCGCATCGCTAATAGTTCGAAGGATCATGTTTTGGGCTCTTTGAATGCAAAGGATGTTGGAATTGCTAGCAGTACCCCAGAGTTGTATGCCATAGGTCCACTGCGGTCTAAGGATAGTTTTATATATCAGTAACTTGTTATCTATTGACAATTTGCTGTTGCGGCCCAATAGCCACAAAAGTCGCTTGTAGCGGATGTTAAGTTCCTCTCTTTTTTTCTTAATGTGTTCTTTCCATGTAAGACGCCTATCTATGTGTAGCCCTAAGTAGCGTATACAGTTTTGATGAGGAAGAGTTACATTTTCTAACTGTACTGGAGGACAATTGCCTTGTTTCAGTGTGAATGTGACGTGAACTGATTTTGACGAACTGGCTCTTATTCTCCATTTTTGCAACCATTTCGTAATCTCATCCAATCCCTGTTGTAAAAGTTGTGTTGCAATAATGGGGTTTTTATGACTTGCAAGTATGGCAGTGTCATCCGCAAATGTTGCAGTTGTTACATTTTGCATTACAGGTAAGTCGGCTGTATAGACAGTGTAAAATACCGGTCCGAGGACTGAACCCTGTGGTACTCCAGCACATATTTCATAAAAATTTGATGTTTCTCCTGATTCTTTAACTTGGAATATGCGTTCATTAATATAAGATTCGAAGATTTGGTGATAACTATGTGGTAGGCTACATTTTAGTTTGCATAGCAGTCCCTTATGCCAGACCCTATCGAATGCCTGCTGAACATCCAAGAACACTGCTGAGCAATATTCCTTTTCCTCGAGAGTCTTTCTAATTCTCTCGTGAACTCTATGCACTTGTTCTATAGTGGAGTGTTCCTGTCTAAACCCAAATTGATGACTCGGTATAACATTATTTTCTTTGAGTATTGGAAGTATTCTGCGAAGCAATAGTTTTTCGAAGATCTTTGATAGGATCGGCAGTAAGCTGATGGGTCGGTATGAGCCGACTTCACTTGGTGGTTTGCCATCCTTATGCACCAATATTATTTGGGATACCTTCCACAGCCTCGGAAAGTACTGCACCCTAAGTATTCCGTTATAAAGAGTTGTTAAGAAGACTATAGCTTTCTTAGGAAGTTGTCTAATAACTTCTTTAGTGATCAGATCAAATCCAGGTGCTTTTTTTTCTTTCAATTCCAACGACACCCTCCATACCTCTTTGACTGTAACAGGTTTTGGTGGCAAAGCCATTTGATAATCTTGTTTTAGGATGGTATCGACCTGATCTTCGTGTTCCTGTATAACCATATCGTTTGGACAGAAGATATTAGCTAGATGCTCAGCAAACGTGTCTGCCTTTTCTTTTGCGGTCCTAGCCCATCCGTCACGTCTTTTTATGGCAGGTTTCGCGGTTTGAGGTCTGTCATAGTTCCTCGTGAATTTCCACAACGAATAATCTGTATCGCTTGTTCCCGTTAGTGACTCCAGTTGTATTTTTAAGGTGTCCTCATGCCAAGCTTGTAACATGTCTTTTAGTTCACTACATGCTTTGTTGAGTTTAGCCTTGTCCTCTCCGATTCGACTTTGATACCATACTCTACGCAGTCTACGCTTTTCAAGTATTGCTAGTTTTATCTGTAGCGGATAGTTTGTGACTTTTTCGCTGCTGCTAATTGAGGGAGTATTAACCCAACATGCTTGCTGTATTAAAGAGGTTATGTGTTTAGTAGCATTATCTAGGTCGTCAGAGGTTTTGAGAGCCATTTTCATTTGTATGTGTTCTTCAATGTATTCTTTAAACGAAGTCCAATCAGTATATTTATTGTGCAGTGTTTCCGGCTTCATAGATTCAATGATTTTTGTGCTAACTGTTAAGATTACTGGTGTATGGTCTGAGGAGCTGTCCGAGCAAGATTCCGGTTTTAAGTAAAGTCTTGAGAGCCCCTTGACCACGAAGAAATCCAAAAGATCAGGTAATTTATTACTATCGGTAGGCCAGTATGTTGGTTCAGAAGTGGAAACAGCACTAAGGTTATTATGGACAATACTAAGTTTTAATTGCCTCCCGCGGGTAGTAGTTAGTCTGGCGCCCCAGTCAGTGTGTTTAGCATTCCAGTCCCCACCTGCGATATATCGATTGCCCAGCGACTGGAAAAACTCAGAAAACAAGGTTTCGCTTATTTTATGTTTGGGAGGACAGTAAACAGCAGAGACAACAAGGTTACCATTTTTGTCTTCAATGGCTACAGTAGTAGCCTGTATGTGTTCAGTTTTATAGTCAGGCATACGGTGATGTTTTATTGACTTCTTTATCAGGAGTGCTGTGCCAGCATGAGCAGTACCATCCGGGTGTTCGGTAACATAGCAAAAATGATCAGAAAATCTCACTGAGGTTCTACTAGTGCAGTGGGCTTCAGAGATAAGCAGGATGTCTAGCTTATGTTCCGACATTAGTAGTTCTAATTCTTGTTTGTTCGGAGCGAGACCATTTATGTTCCAGGTGGCTAGCCGTAGTGCAATCATTTTGATAGTTTGTCAACAAGTTTAACTATGAGATTCATTAGGGTACTCATTTGTTGTAGGATTGTATCAAATTTTTCATTTTGTTTTAAAAGAAAAATATTAATTTCTTTAAATTTTTCTCTAAGAGATTCTCTTGCCTTTAAATTATATATGGCGCGAACAGCTCTCTTTTGCAGTACGAAAATACTTTCTATATTAGCAGCTGAGCCCCACAACAAAAGACCATATGACATAACGCTATGAAAGTAACCAAAGTAAACCATTCTTGCCGTTTCCACATCAGTTAGGAGTCTTATTTTTTTAACAGCGAAGGCCGCAGAGCTCAGTCTACTTGATAAGGCATCAATATGAGGATCCCATTGCAGATGCGAGTCTAAAGTAATACCCAGAAACTTTGTAGAATCCACTAACTCTACAGGCTGGTCATTTATTTTTAAACTAGTATTAACCTGCCTCACATTAGGTAAAGTAAACTTAACACATTTTGTTTTGCTAGAGTTTAGTTTTAAATTATTTACCGTAAACCAGCGAAGGACTTCAGAGAGAGCACAATTTACTTCGTCATAACAATCATTTCCTCTCCTAGCTTTAAACACTAAAGAGGTGTCATCAGCAAATAGTACTGTCTCACACAAATCTCTTGTAAAGTGAGGAAGGTCATTAATATAAATAAGGAAAAGCAATGGGCCCAATATTGAACCCTGGGGCACGCCCATAGAAATGGGTGCTCCTGTAGACTCAGCTTCATTTATAACTACTTTCTGAATCCTAGCAGAAAGATAAGACTGTATCAGACTTAGTGAAATATTTGATACACCATAATGCTTCATTTTATTTAACAATGTTTCATGGCTAACGCAGTCAAACGCCTTAGATAAATCGCAAAAAATGCCAATAGCATCGTGCTTACTCTCCCATATATCAAAAATGTGTTTGAGAAGTGCAGTTCCAGCATCAATAGTACTTTTGCCTCTAGTGAAACCAAACTGTTTTAAATGAAGTAGCTTATTTATAGAAAAGTGTGCTAGTAATTGGTTATAAATTATTTTCTCAAATACTTTACTTAGCGCTGGTAATACAGATTTAGGCCTAAAATTGCTGGGATCTGATTTATCACCAGCCTTAAAAAGAGGGATAACTTTAGCACATTTCATTAGATCTGGAAACACTCCCTCATCAATACATTTGTTAAATATAATGGCCAGTTGTGGCGCAATGACAGTGATAATCGGTTTTATTATATATGTTGATATTCCCCATAAATCCTCTGTCTTTTTAATATTAATAGAATTAAATGTTTTTATAATACAATCACTACTGATATGTCTAAAATAAAAATCATTACTGCACTTATCAACGCTTGACTCAAGGAGGGTCATTGCTAACCTAGAACAAGAATTAAGATTTCTAGTTGATTCAAACGGTACACTAGAAAAGAAATTTTCAAAAGTGTTGGCAACGGCATCATCTGTCCGAATAATCTTGTTGTCTATTTTTAAAGAATATGTGCGTTCATTGAATTTATTTCTTCCAGTTTCATTATTAATTATATTCCAAGTTGTCTTTATTTTATTATCTGATAGACTAATTTTTTTTGATAAAAATTTAGCTTTCGCTATGGCACACACCTTTTTAAAAGTTTTTGAATAGTTTTTGACATATTCTATAAACTTAGGATCAGATGAGGTTGCTTTGAGAGCATATAATTGATACAACTTATTTCTACTTTTGTAAATACCAGGTGTGGCCCAATCACTAAAATTCTTTTTAGAGCTATGGCATTTAATTACTTTGCGTTTGAATATTTTATTAAATTCATCTTTAATTAAATTAAATAAATCTTCATATAAAATATTATTATTATTACAAACTGGTAAGTCCGACATTTTATGATAAACACTATCTTTAAATTTATTTATACCCGTTTGTGTAATTGGTCTATAAGTTAGGTCATGTTTGTGTGAAGCATGATGGTGTTCAAGAGAGGCTAATTGTCCACTATGATCAGAATTAATACAATTTATTATTGATTTATTAAAAACTTTCCTATTACAAAAAATATTATCCAAACAGGTTGCTGATGCATGTGTGATGCGGGTAGGCTCAAAGAAGATATGCTCCAAGTTATATGATTTAAATAAGTTTAGAAACCTACCCACTAACGGACACTTAACTAAAATATTTATATTAAAATCACCACATACAACAAGCACTTTATTACATTTACATACTATATTGAAAGCGTCTTCCATAGCGGACTCAAATTGAGTGTAATTCCCAGATGGGGGTCGATATACACATATTATGATCATTTCATCAAGTTCCACACAAGATAGTTCAATATTACGTTCAACTGAAAGTGAAACAATATCTGAACGTTCTTTGTATTTAAGATCATTCTATAAGATTATGAGAGAGCCTCCCCTGATAGCCGATTTCCTACAAAAACTACTAGCAACTGTATAATTATCTAAGTTCATAACTAATTCATAATCTCTGAGCCAGTGCTCAGTAATACATAATATTCTAATATTCTTTGCATTTAAAAATAAGCATACTTCTAGGTCTTTACCAGAAAAGCCTTGTATATTTTGGTGAACAATATTTAGGTATTTAGACTTTTCCTTGGTCATGTTGTAGCTAGAGAGTTCCTCTGTTGTCTTAAGAACTAATTTAAATTACAATTAATGTCAGTATTTGGAACAAATTCCAAGGTCTGATCTACATAATTATGCTGCTCAATAGAAGCAGTAGTGATAGCCAAATTTTTGGCTATGTGTGTAAAATAAAATAATAGCGAAGAAGCTATTTGTCTCTTATTGTAATACGAAAGATAATATTTATCTCTTGTCATTTTATACTTATATATTAATTTATTTATATCTATTAGATGTACTATTTGACTACTATACTGAGTCATGGTACTTAATGCCAAATTTAGCCTATACCTAATATTAATCTCTTCATTTGATAGACTCCTACTATATGGAAATGTAAACATAACTATTCTATTTACATTTAAAGAACACAAAGAGTTATAGTAGGTCATAATGTCATTTTTGTTAATATTGCCTCTATTACCCATTAAAATAATTAAACTTGTATTTTTGTCAAGTTATTTGTTGTTACTTATTGTTTCACGTTTTGAAATAATAAATTGTGTTTTAACAAAAAATAAGATAAATATGGTTTACTGTACTGTGCTTAAGAAAAATAATAGAACGAATGGCAACATCTGTCCACTGCGCTAGCCGTGCGCCCTTATATACGCCAATCGATGCATTCCAGAAATGTCCAGTTCAATTGAGAGTCCTATTCCCTAGCCTCGGCGAGTATTTTACGCAGGTAGCACGCATGAGTTGTAAAGAAGTTGGCAGCTGTCGTTGTATTTTACTCTAACGCCGCACTGCTAAGGCTCATATTCGAGTGGACCGCAACACGGCCTTCGTATTTAGGTAATTTGGATCGTGAGTAAATTGGTTGACGTGACGACCGCGGTCTTGTGGATAAATTCGTTTCCAGAGCCTTCGTGACTATGTACACACCTGTGCCCGCAGCATGAGCATATTATATCACGTGATAAAAACTAGCAGTATAACATATCGCGGTACTCATGCTAGGAGGCAGGAGTTTTTATATTCCGCTTTATTTTTAGAGTTTTATTACAAGGCGCAGATCTGGTTCTTGCATTTGGTCGTCGTTATGGACTCGTTGGAAGAAACGGCTTGGGCAAGACAACACTCCTTAGAATGATCTCAGCAAAACAACTTAAGATTCCGTCTCACATCTCCATTCTCCATGTAGAACAGGAAGTAGTTGGCGATGACACAATAGCCTTACAGAGTGTTCTTGAATGTGACATAGTAAGAGAAAGTTTATTGAAAAGAGAAAAGGAAATCACCTTAGCAATAAATAATGGGTATGTTTTTAATGAAGGAAGAGATATTTGATCTATTAATGAATGTCTTCATAAGTGTTTATTATGTAGAGATTAGTTCGGGTAGTTACACAATATAATATTTCAGATCAACAGATACAAATCTTTCATCAGAACTTAGTGAAATTTATGTGCAATTGGAGAACATAGAAGCCGACAAGGCACCAGCAAGGGCATCTATAATATTGAGCGGTCTCGGGTTTACACCTGAAATGCAGGCTCGGGCGACGAAAACTTTTTCAGGAGGTTGGAGAATGAGGCTAGCACTCGCCAGGGCTCTGTTTTCCAAGTCAGTAAATAATTATTTTTCTTATATATAGACCTTAATATTTTGAACCCTTAATTTGGTATCTAATGTTTTAATAACTAGAAAGTACAATATAGTGTATTAAGAAGTAAAAATTCGAAATGAAAATTATTAAGATGTAGAATATTACACTTAAGTGAAAAAAACACTTAGTTTATACGAATTTTATAGTTCACTATGCATTTCACTATCTTGAAGATGCATATGTTAAAATAAACCACCAAAATTCTAAACTGGAAACTGTGAAGAATTGTCTTGGTTCTCGTGTTCAGACACATACATCTCATCATATTATCATCATAGTCATATTATTATCTAAACAAATATACATTAGCATAAAAGTGAAAGGTACTTCGTCGATTAATTATCAACAACAACTTTAGTTATCAAATAAAGTTAAGCCTAAAATATACTAGAAACAATTCGACAAGTTCAATAAGGTCTTTGTTGCATAGCGGTTTGTGCATTCGCCCTGTACCCTTAGTTTATTTATTGATAGAATTTAAACACTGTTGATTTGTATTGAAACGAAAACAATAAAATCAGTTCCCTTAGTACGAGCGAGTGTGAGCTCACGAAAACTATAATAGTTATCGTAATTGTAAAACTCGTACTAAGGGTACTGATAGGATCATATTCAGCCTAACACTTGGACCGATTTTTTCTAGTAAATTTTCTTTAGATTCAAATTCAAACTTAAAGACAATAGTGTATCATTGTCAATCTATTATATACAGAATAAAAAAGGACATACTGATTTTACGATTAGTTCTAAGTTTAGAGAATCATGCCAGAGTCGACACCAGTTTCACGTTTTAAATTAAAATATGCAATCGAAACCGGATATAACGACATTGAAGGGACCACACAACTTCGCACGTTTAGTCCGATAGTTGTTATAAACAATAGACACAACTAGCATTATTAATTTTCATATGTATGTATGTAGTATGGGTATACGTCATGCATATGAACTTGTTAACAAATTATTTTTTTGCAAAAAGTAAAAAAGATTATTAGGAAAATATTTGAAGTACCTACAGCATGTTTTGTTTTGCTGTAAGAAGTAAAACGGTTGGTCGTTATAGCTGATGAATATCGATATGAACTATATCGATATTCATCAGTTATAAGTCGTTTTAAGCGATATTTCGCTATATCCGATGTTATTATAGGCGATTTGTTTACTTAAAGGTTTGTTGTATTCGGCCGGGACCTTGCCAAGTGGCCGTAGTAACCGACCCGTCGTTGTATTCGGTTTTGACTGTATTTATTTTATTTAATATTTATATCCACTAAACCCATTGAATTCGAGCTTCGATTCATGAAATTTTGTAATTTCAGAGTAAACATTTGACCTTATTGGATAATATTTTAATTTACTTACATTAACAAAATCCTTTCTTTTCACCTGAATAAAACTCATTTTTTCTCACCTTTCCATCCAGCTCCAGGTTATTCTTTAGAGTAACTAAACATTGAGCCACCATTCGCGGTCACTATAAACACGACAACTAGTGGTTCAGCCAAGACACTAGACGCAACCACCAATCGATTCCGCTAGTGGCTTAGTGGAGGCCACTAGCGGCTTAGTGGCGGCCACTAGCGGCTTCGATTCGATCGGTGGTTGCGTCTAGTGGCTTGACTGAGCCACTAGTTGTCGCGTTTAATGGCCGCGATTAGTGGCTCAATGTGCGGTTCCTCTAAAGAATAAGCTGGAGCTGGACGGAAAGGTGAGAAAAAAAGTGTTTTATTCAGTTGAAAAGAAATCATTTTGTTAATGTAAGTAAATTAAAATATTATCCAATAAGCTCAAATGTTTACTCTGAAATTACAAAATTTCATGTATAGAATCTTGAATTCACTGGGTTTTGTAGATATTAATGTCAACTAAAATAAATACAGTCAAAACCGAATATAACGACGGGTCGGTTACTACGACCAATTGGCAAGGTCCCGGCCGAGTCCCTATACCTTGACGTTGCTCTCACACAGTTTTTATTATTATGTTAAACAGACCTGATCTTTTGCTTCTCGACGAGCCGACGAACATGTTGGACATAAAGGCTATCATTTGGTTAGAGAACTACCTTCAGAACTGGCCTACTACGTTACTGGTGGTATCGCACGACCGGAACTTCTTGGACACAGTACCCACAGATATTCTACACTTACACACACAGAGAATAGACACATACAGGTATTTATGAATGACCCATTGAATGCCATATTATTTTATGTAGATTTCCTGCAGTTTTTGCGGTGCTGTTGAAAAAAAAGTTTAGTTAAAAGTTAATGGTTCAATAAAAATACATATCACATAATTTTAATGGTTGATAATATCAGTAAATATTTTTATTCAAATACAATATCTGAATATTTTTCACTACTTGATTTATTGTAACTAGAGCCAAGGGTCACGCTGATTTAATACAGAATACCTACATAATATTCAATGAACTTCCAAATGGGGTAGGGGATTAGGTCACAAGCCCAAGCATGAATTTTTGACAGCTCCTAACGTCATCGTGAAATTTTGTATAGAAAAAGCTAGTTTGTGCTTTAAGCACAAACGTAATACGTCCGATGGGGTACGTTACGAAGCTGGCGAAAATAGGCTAGTTGACTCATGTCAAATTGCACTATACAAATGTTTATTTCTTATAATTTTTGGTATAAAGAACCTAAATAATATATCGATTTCACTTCATAAAATTAAAAGATGGCTGTAGTAATTTAATTTGAAAAATAGTTTTTTAGTCTATGCTTTTTAAACACTAAAAACGCTGTCCACCATGATTGTGACGTCAACATAATAGCAAAACAACTAAACGTCATTGTCGTGTTACTGTGGTTTCTTTGGTCCGACTAAAATATATCTAAAAACTTTTATATCTTGAAGAAAAGTTTCCGTTTATTGGTTTTCTTGACTAAATGAATGCTGGACGCCGGATTTGTGAAAGCAGAAACGACAAAACTCTTTGACTTAGCAGGTACATTCATAACCTTAAAAATTGAAACCACAACATTTTTGGAGTTTTTAACGATGTGTTTCTTTATTCTCGTATAATACAATCATGATAATTACTATATTTATCATGAAATCTATTAGAAATCATGGTTTTGTAATGTAAATTCAGATAGGTTATATCCTGCGAGTGTTTGTTTACTATTGTTCCCGTCATACCATAGATAATCTATAGACTAAAATGGCCGACAGCGTTTTTGTATGTCCATGAAAAATCTATTTTAAAATTAAAGTTTTGTAGCTTTCGGTCGGTTCGGTCTCATTGAACAATTATTAACCATTTAAAACATATTTCCAAAAAGTGTCAACTAGCCTATTCGTGCTTGGGCCTCAGGAATAGTAATTGCAATCATATGTAGGCTAGGCAGCTGCTTACGATCAATCGTAAACATGCTTGTTTGCCACCTTTTTTTACATATATTTTCAATGTGTTCCTATTCACAGCTTCTTTGTCGTTTATTAATAAGAGTTAAATATTTGAATACAGGGGTAATTATGACCAATTCCACAAGACGAAGACTGAGAAGCACAAGAATCAGCAGCGCGAGTACGAAGCGCAGCAGCAGCACCGAGCACACACTCAAGAGTTCATCGACCGGTTCCGATATAACGCGAACCGTGCCTCTTCAGTGCAGAGCAAGATAAAGATGCTGGATAAACTGTGAGTAAAACTCAAATTATTCATTACAATAATTTCCACAAAACTAAATTGCGAAGCTGAAGGGCAAGTAGTACGAGAATAAGGTGCCGTATCAGCGCATACTTAAGAGTTCATCGACCGGTTCCGATATAATGCGACCCGTGCTTCTTCTGTGCAGAGCCAGATAAAGATGCTGGATAAACTGTGAGTACAACTCAAATTATTCATTACAACACCACGAAACGAAATTGCGTAGCTATAGGACAAGTAGTGCGAGAATAATGTGCCGTATCAGCGCACACTGAAGAGTTCATCGACCGGTTCCGATATAACGCGAACCGTGCTTCTTCTGTGCAGAGCAAGATAAAGATGCTGGATAAACTAGGAGTACGACTCAAATGATAGGGTTCATTACAATAACTTCTAAGAGCAAAGTCTTCGAAACTGAAAATGCAAAAAGCGAAGTAGCAATCTATAGAGAGGATTTCATAAATCATTAACCGGCACCAATACAATGGCATAACCTTGCTTCTTCCGTGCAGAGCATGATCAAGATGCTGGATAATCTGTGAGTACAACTCGAATAAGAGGAGTCATTAAAATCAGTTCAACTGGCGTGGGGCGTAGAAGAGAGATAGGGCATAGCTCCACTCCACTCAAATTTGATGCTCCAATTGCTCCTGTCTGAGGAATTGAAGTTTTGGTGGTGGTGTTTCTGTCGGTGAGTAAGATTCCAGGGGGGCACGGGGTGGGGGATTGGGTTAGGGTAGACAACGGGGCGAGTTTATTTTGGTATCACAAGCGTATAAAGGCTATGATGGCCGCTTACCATCAGGAGGGCTAAGAGCTTGTTTGCCATCCTTTTAACATAAAAAAAATAATAAAAGGAAGACTGCGAAATCGAAGAACCAGAAGATGCAGCACTAGCGCACACGCAGGAGTTCATCGACCGGATCCGATACTCCAAGCAGAGTAAGATAAAGATGCTGAATACACTGTAAGTAAGCATAATTCAACGGACTGGTGATACGAGTATAACGCAAATGTAAACATCAGCAACTTATTAAGAAAGCTTGGCCCATGGCCCAGTGCGGATTAGCGAGTGCTAGCAACTGCAACTTATTAAGAATGCTTGGCACATGGTCCAGTGCGGATTAGTGAGTACTAGCAACTGCTGATACAGCCATACCCAACATACCTTTAGAAGCACGGAGGAACTTGAGATAGTGTAGTCAATCAACCATAGGTACGACACAAGCGGAGACTGCGAAGCTGATAAGCCGGAAGCAACTTTTTCAGAAAGCTTGGCAATGGCCCAGTGCGGGTTACTGAGTGCTAGCAACTGCAACTTATTAAGAATGCTTGGCACATGGCCCAGTGCGGATTAGTGAGTGCTAGTAACTGCTGATACAGCCAGACCCAACATGCCTTTAGAAGCGCGGAGGAACTTGAGATAGAGTAGCCAGTCAACCATAGGTACGACACAAGCAGAGACTGCTAAGCTGATCAAGAGGTAGCAACTTATTAAGAAAGCTTGGCACATGGCCCACTGCGGATTAGTGAGTGATAGCAACTGCAACTTATTAAGAATGCTTGGCACATAGCGCAGTGCGGATTAGTGAGTAGTAGCAACTGCTGATACAGCCATACCCAACATGCATTTAGAAGCGCGGAGGAACTTGAGATAATGTAGTCAATCAACCATAGGTACTTGTTTCTAAGGTTTTAACGCACATCACTCATTAAATAAAACTAGTTTTAACGGGTTAATGCACGAAATTTATTTATTTATTGATGTTTCACAGCCATTTCAGGTCTGCATCGTAAATTTCGTGCATTAACCGGTTAAAATTAGTTTTATTTAACCATAGGTACGACACAAGCGGAGACTGCTAAGCTGATAAGCCGGAAGCAACTTATTAAGAAAGCTTGGCAATGGCCCAGTGCGGGTTACTGAGTGCTAGCAACTGTAACTTACTAAGAAAGCTTGGTACATGGCCCAGTGCGGATTAGTAAGTGCTAGTAACTGCTGATACAGCCAGACCCAACATGCCTTTTGAAGCGCGGAGGAACTTGAGATAGTATGTAGCCCGCAACCATAGGTACGACTCAAGCGGAAACTGCTAATAACGCGATAGCGTAGAACAATAGTACAAGAAGCAGCAGTGGCGAATTTCTCGATTTACACAAGTTTATCGATCGATACAACGCGAACCTTTTTTCCTCCGTACAGTACATGTATCACGTTTATTATCGCGTGTTATGGTCGAAATCCATAGTAATTTTGCAATTGAGCGTGACAAACACGAGTTATATATCGATCACAGATCGCGCTGTTCATGCTTGGGGAGCAAGGTGTTGAATGATAAAAATGTATCCCTATTTCCCTTGGTCACTTCAGTATCATTCGAAACGGCTATACCATTTTCGTTAATTTTTAAAGTTTTCTAATACTTTGTAGAAAGTTCGTATGGAAAAAAAGTTCAAAAAGTTTCGCAGTAAAGTAGAAAATACAAGAAAACTCAACAAAAAACTCTGCCCAATAGGGAAAAGCTACATTAGATTTATTTTGATTAGGCAGGATAACGTCTGTCGGATTTAGTACTTTTACAATAGATTATGCGTGCTTTTTGCATTAACTTAAAGCCTTTATTATTTTCTAGTCCAGAGTTGAAGCCAGTTGAAAAGGAGGTGGATGTGGTTCTCCGGTTTCCGGAGACGGAGCCACTCTCGCCGCCCATCCTGCAGCTCAACGAGGTCGGCTTCTACTACTCGAAGGATAAGGTCATATTTTCCAACGTCAATCTCGGCGCCACTCTCGAATCCAGGATATGCATCGTGAGTCATTTGTTCTTTTCAAATTGGTACTTACTTTTCAGCCAACAAAAGTCATTTGTTCTATTTTAATTACATACATTTCCCCCAAAAAATTTAGAAAACATTTAAAATTGTAGGTAACTAGTCCGCGACTTCGTTTGCGTGGATAAATTGGTTGCCCATTCAAACGTCCACCCCCTTTTCACCCCTTTGAAGGGTGATTTTTTAGGATAAAAATTCCTGGGACTCAAACTATCGCTATATCAAATTTTATCTAAATAAGTGCAGCGGCTTACGTGTAAAGAACAGACAGACAGAAAGTCAGACAGACGGGCACTCTTTCACATTTATAATTTAAGTATGGATGGATGGATATTTTCAGTTGGTATATTAGTTTACTTGTTTCAAATCTTTTTTACCCCATACACCAATAATTTTATTAAACCACTTACGAGGTTTACCCACGGGGTAGGGGATTGGGTCAGGGTAGACAGCGACGCGAGTGATATTTTTTTTGCATTCGTAAGCGTCTATAGGCTATGCCTGCTTACCGCTTACCATCAGGCGGGTCATATTCTTTATTATATATTTGTCACCCTTTTAACATAATAATAAGACATAATATGAGAGAAAGAGAGTGGGAAAATGATACATGATAAAAAATCTAAATGTGTGCTGGGACACATAGTAGAATGGAAACTTCCGCCAGTCTTTCTCTCCCTCCGCTGCTGCCGCCTCTCACCGCGTGATATATTGTCTACCGCCTCCACGCGGCCGTAACGCTTTTTCGTGATAGCAAAATCCTATTACGAAGCGCGGTTTGACATAATATTAACGTATTGAAATTCTGTTATAGGTAGCGGCAAACTTCTTGAGTAAAATCACATACAAATAAACTTGCGTAGTAGACTTTTTTATATAAAACCAGCGGCAGCCCGCGACTTCGTCCGCGTTAACTTTAGTTTTTTTTAATCTCTGAAGAACCTGGATCGGTGCAATTATAAAAGATAACTAACTGTCAATCAAAAGTATGATATAAGCACTGGAAATCAATTTCTAAATGAAGTCGTTGAGACGCAACCTTCAGCAATAGCCCGCTCGCGCGTTGTGAGTCCGCGCGACAGGCAGCGTAAAAAAAATTATTTCGGTGTGTACCGCATGTATATTCATATGCATGTAGTAAAAAGCGGCTATTTCAATATAACAAACAGACTCCAATTTTATTTATATTGATAGACTGCGCAGGCTTCCTTGTCTATGGTCGTTGCTCAAGAAGTTTGCCGGGGTATATTGTATTGTATACATCACTGAGATGTTGTTCATCTTTTTATCAATTTAACACATCAGTTCATTCACACAGGTGGGTGACAATGGTGCCGGCAAGACTACATTGTTAAAGATAATAATGGGCATTCTGTCGCCCACGAGTGGTATACGGAGCGTGCACCGAGGCCTTAAGTTCGGCTACTTCTCACAGCATCACGTCGACCAGCTGGAAATGAACGTCAACTCTGTGGAATTGCTGCAGAGGAGTTACCCAGGTAGGTGGTTTTTGAGACTATGATGCCGGAAGGACTATATTGTTGAAGATAATAATAATGGGCATTCTGTCGCCCACGAGTGGTATACGGAGCGTGCACCGAGGCCTCAAGTTCGGCTACTTCTCGCAGCATCACGTCGACCAACTAGAAATGAACGTCAACTCTGTGTGTTTTTATAATAGTATAATTACAATAGTAAAAATCGTTCAACAGTTTAAAACCGTACAAGATGTTGCATAGACCATCCAATGAGTATACATTATAAATATAAATATTTCCAACACTCACACCAATTAGCCTAGCCCCAAAGTAAGCACTGTAAGACTTGTGTTATGGGATGCTAGGGTGACGGATAGAATACATATACTGTACATATATAAGTGTATTTTTATAGAAAATATATATTAAACATCCACGACTAGAGTACAAATGATCGTATTCATCACACAAAACCCGGGACCTCTCGAGTCGGCGACACCATGAAACCCGGCATACAAACCACTCGGCCACGGAGGTCGTCTGATTTTGACATTGACATTGTCTGATGTTGAGTCATTGTTCTTTCATAATACACGATTATTTTGATAAATTTCTTCAAGACTGCTCAGCTTCGTTGTTAGAGTGAGTCCATGGATGGCTTATAATTAACAACACGGCCGGGATAGTGGCGCTGTGGTCAAGTGCTAGTATTTTATTATCTAAACTGATTTATAATGGTTGAATCAATTTAAATGAAATTTTATGCGCGAATTCATTCAAATGGATAACTGGAAGTTGCGATAGGTCTGGTAGGATTTATTTATATTTTCACCTGGCAGGTCAAGCCTTATCAGCTCTGCTACTTGTTGTATATTTCTAGCTATCCAATATGGGGCATAATGTAATAGGGATGATGACAGCGTAAAGTAAACGATATTCTCGTCCCTCAGTTAGATTAAGAAATATTAATGTATACTTTTTTTTTCTTTTTGCGGGCAACCATGAAAGGACCAAGATAAAGTGCGTCAAATCTTGGGAGTGACGCTCGTGAAGTGATATCATATGACGTGACAACATTTCAAATCATAACATCTCTGTAATGTTTTAATTATGTGAAAAAAGAAAAAGTATGCGATACTTTTGCATAATCCACCTGATAGACGAAGAAAGAAAAGTTAGTCATCATTCCTATTACTTATGAAGATTTTTGGCATTTCAATAAAAAATAATAAATAAACTCCCACAATTTGCACGAAAGCGAAAGGAAAGATGTTACACATCAAAAAATAATCGTCCCGTCTATATAAAATTCAATATTCTACAGGCAAATCTATCGAAGAATACAGAAGACAGTTAGGCAGTTTCGGCGTAAGCGGCGACCTGGCACTGCAGACCATAGCGAGTTTATCGGGAGGGCAGAAGTCGCGGGTGGCGTTCGCGCGCATGTGTATGGGCAACCCCAACTTCCTGGTGCTCGACGAACCCACCAATCATCTGGACATCGAAACCATCGAGGCGTTGGGGAAGGGGATCAATAAGTATACGGTGAGTGAAACATTAATTTTACCGTCGAGTCGTTAGGAAAGGCGATCAACAAGTAACTTCTTATTGCTCGACAAATCCACCAACCATGTCGACATTGGACGATCGAGGCATTAGGAAAGGCGATGAGTATACGGAGAGTGAAACATTAATTTTACCGCCTCGAGTTAGGGAAGGCTAGATTATATTTTTTAATTTAGAAGAATCATTTCTCCATGTCGTTCCGAGTCACTATGACTGTGTACCTTCTTGTTTCTGATTACCATAATACAAGTCTTTAGATTAGTACTCTAACCTCCTTATTAATAAACGAGGAATCATCACATCAATCACTATCAGGAGGTTCAACAAGTATACGATGAGTGATGAGCAACTTCAACTTCCTATTGCTCGACAAATCCACCAACCATGTCGACATTGGACCATCGAGGCATTAGGAAAGGCGATGAGTATACAGGGAGTGAAACATTATTTTTAGTCTTACTAGTGAATTTAAACGCCTTTTCAAAGTGAACATTTGTATTCTGAAATAATTTCGAATTCGCCTTAGAACTTAACTGAGTTTTAAAGGAGAGGCTACTTTTATAGCACTGACAAAAGTCAGAAAGAATCACAAGTGCCTAAGTAGTATTAACATATATAAGTATAGAATTCCTACCATTTGTTAAAAAATTAAGGCACAAATTCACTTGCACCGCAAAATCTTAAACTCCCTGGGAGTTTGACTGTTTGGCTTACACTTTACTTTCACAATTTCATGTTATATCTTGCTGAGTCATCAACGGTGCGACACAATAGATAATTTGCCTAATTTTAAGTCCCATAGTCAGGAACATTTTCATAGCAATTAAAGTTAATAATGGAACTATATATATACTATAAATATAGAACTATATATATAGAACTATGCCAGTTCTTATTGTATGAAAAACACTTGAAAATTATTTAGAATAATTGTATGTTTAAAATTGAACCTTATTTCCTTATGTATTAAGTTCTCTTATCCTAGCCGAGCGATTGTGATAAGCATAAAAGTTTATTATTTTACTTAGGGTTTTATATCGACCAGCACCAGTGGTGCTGGGGTTCAAATACCGGTAGCACATTTTTTTTGTTCCGAATTATGATTGATAAAATAATTATTATGTATTCTATACGTTATTAAACTTCCTCGGCACACAATCATTTGTTTTGTATTCGTACAACAAATTGTTCCGAGTTAACAATTTGTTAAATCATAAATTAACAGTGAATATATTCGCACCATGCAAATATCGATCTTATTACTAGGTAATAAAGTTTTTTTATGCGCTCTAAATGTTATAACTTTGGCAATGGTTGATCATAAGATGGATGAACAAAATCTATAATATTATCTCTAGCTACTTTAAGCTTGGCTGTATCTACAATCGTTAGAAACCACTGATTGGATCGCACTGGGTTTGCGTAGTGGGTCATGTTCATGACCTGTTTTCCCGATTTCATCCATATGAAAAGTCTGTACCCCAGCAGCAGAAAATTAATAGGCTGGTGATTTATTCTTATTATTTAGGAGTACCTACCACACAGAGTACTGAAACATAATACAAGGGTTCTCTCTGATAGGCACGTAGATATTTCAGTCAGTGAAGCGCTCTTCAGCGCCGATTGTAATTTATTTTTAATATTAATATTTCATAATACTTGTGGTATTAATGTAACTTTTTTGTATAGAGTGTTTTTTTTCTCTATTACAGGGAGGAGTTATTCTTGTATCTCACGACGAAAGGTTAATAAGGATGGTATGCAAAGAGCTATGGATCTGTGGAAACGGTTCTGTCACTAGTATAGAGGGTGGATTCGACGAGTACCGCAAGATAGTTGAGCGGGAACTGGAGGCGCAAAACAAGTAGACAAACACGCAATATACATATATACATATACACGACATTACCTAATATATGTGTAAAAAGTAATCCTAAATTATATTATTGTAATATATTTTTAGCGTTTTATTATTATTATTTATAAACCTAATGCGATTTTTGTACAAGAAAAGGGGCAATGAAAAACTTATGTTTACGAATGCAAATTTTATTTATACCTTCAACCTTCCTCTCTCTGCATTAAATAATTTTAGCATACAATTCCATACAAAACATTGAGTACTCCGATATCCATGGCAATGTAAAAATATAATTAACTTAAAATCATATTTACAAATTAAAATTCAAAATACATAATATACAATTATAATAGTGACTAAAACAGTGACAGAATAGTTAGCGAATAAAAACAAATTCTTAATGATTCAGCGGATAAATCCAAGTCGCTTTTCAGTGCAGTACTCAACTTTACCAATGCTAGCGTGGTTCGTTATTAAATGCAATTTGTGTTTGAGATTTAAGGTGTTATTTTTTTGTTATCGGAGGGAAGTGACAAATAATTTAATTTGTGTTTCGAACTGTTTCAATGAATACATACATAATATACGACGTACAACACTTCCAGTTCATATTATGGCAATTATTCTGAATTATATAGTTAGGTACAAATTAAAAAGTATCGCTAGCAGATCACAAAATACATACTTCTAAACTAAAGTACTTATGTCCAGTTGGCAATGACAAATGGCGTTCGGATCACACGTCTCCCGCTGACGAGCGAGAGGGGTCGACATACCTATTCTCAAAGTAACCTATTGGTGCTTCTTGCGCCTAGTTTTAGTTTTGTCCGCGTTCCTCAACACTTCAGCGTACGATAGTTCTAGTTTCCTCAGTTTGTGTATCTCCTGGGACGCAGTGCTCTGTTTGATGTCCCAGGAGTCGGTCTCCGGGTTCCAGCCTTGGTATATCTTACCGGTCCGGCCGCTCGAGCTGGGCGTTGGAGAGTTCATGCTTCTGTTGTAGAACTGGAGCGTGGATCCGTTCCACTCGGACTCCGTTCGGACGAGGGGGCTGACCTCGATGGGCCTGTAGTCCCTCTTCTTCTTGTTCGACGATTTCTGGTAAGTGATTTTAGGCGGCGAGGGGAATACGGGCGAGTCCGCTCCCTGCCGCTCCTGGCTGTGCTTGCGGTTGCGATGTCTGGACTTCTTTCTAGTGGCCGCGATGTATTCCAGCGGCTGTCGCACCAGTGGAGTCAACACCCGCTCCTTATCTTTGTCCTTCTCCTTCTCTTTCTCGCCCGCCTTCTCTTTAGGCTTCTCTTCTTGAGCGGGTCTCTGTTCCACCGGCTTGTTCTCCTTGTCGTTCACCACCTCTTGTTTCTTGACAGGTTCGGGAGCGGGTTTCTCCTTCTCCACGAGGGTGGGCGACTCAGGTGCCGTTATGTCGGACACTGGAATCGACTGTTCAGACATCACAGACGACAGTACGCTCTGGGTGTCGTCGGTGAAGTTGCCCGGAGGCTCCTCTGTCGCAGGCGTGACCGGGGGCACTTTGCCCGTCGTCGTGTCGTCTAGTAGGGGCAGCTGTTCGCCCTCGTCCTTGTTCTCGGCTGCTTTCTTGAGTATCGTGAAGATCTCTTTGAACAGCTCTCTGTATTCGGGTCTGTTTCGGAAGCGGCTGTCCATCGGGCTGACGTCGTCGTAAATGCTGAACCGGTAGTCTTCTCCATCGGCGATGGTGCAAAGGAAGGAGCCGGGTCGTTCGCGCTCCGTCTGCGTGGCTTTGTTGCTCGTCTCGTCCGAGAAGCCTGAGCTGGACGTTTCCGCTTCCGAGAAGTCTGGGGTTTGTATGATCTTCTTTCGAGACGTGGTGTCGGCTTTCTTTTGCTGTGGGTTTTCCTTGTGGGCCTCTTCTCCGTGGCCGCTTTCCTCGTCGGTGTCTTTGACGCTGAAGTGGCTGTAATCGCTGCTCGTCTGCAGCTCGTCTTGCAGAGAGAGAGGCCCAGACTGTGCCTGCGAGCTGGGCAGAGCATTCTGCTTGTTCTTCCTTATGTTTTTCACCTGTGACAGTTGAACTTCTAGAAGAGCTTCATACTTTTGCACCAATTCCCTGTACGGATTATCATGACCGTCTTCCTTGTTAGCCCATACGCCCTGAAGTAGTTTCTCCTTGGCATTCTGAAAAGTGTTTTATAATCAAATATGTAATTATTGTACAAAACAATGTTGTTTTTTGTTAAAATTTAATAAATCAACGTGAAAGTTAATATATGACGTGATTTGAAAAAGAAGATATGAATGAAACTTGGATTTAATGTATTACATTGATGGGGATAATATTGAAAAGAACGAAAATGACATTAAGTGACTTTACTGAAAAATATTACGATGGATTAAATTTAATTAAAAATCAAAGTAGTGGTAGATGTTCAAAATGGCAAGAATATTATAAATAAATACTTAAATATTATTATTAGTCAAAAATACACCCATTACTCCACAGTCAACATTATTGAAATATTACTTAAACGTAAATAAAAACACTTATTTTTTCATACAAAACATAAAATATTGTAGTACCTACATAAATATAAACTTGAGATATTGCTACTAGTTAAAATAAATGTTAAATACGATATTATTTATGTTATAATGACGGTCAATGTCCAATATAAGCTATTAAAATAAAATATAGATACATAATTATGTGGTTGATATGTGTTTTACCCAATCCACCACTACGTAACATGTTCCAAGAACCATCACCAGTCAGACAGCGTGCTCTGATCGCGCTTACATTATTAACGTGTCAGTAATGGACGTACCTTCGACTACATACGATATATCCAAAGAAAACTACTGCAAATGCGCTTCATAATGCATATGCAAAGCGTGATCAACAACATCAGGGGCAGTTGTAAAAGCATTGTCGCCTAGAAACGAGTGAAATATTCACATCAGACAAGGAGAAAAATCTTATGCCACGATTCCTTCAAAGCTAGCGCTGGATTTCGACTTTCGTAGCTGTTTTGATAAAAAAAACAATTGAAAGGTGAAATCAAAGGCCGTCAATGTTAAAGGATTGGCATGCGCAGCTAATTTTCAGAACTTAATGAACTTTAAACCAAATAAATGCGGAGATTAGAATGTTAGGTTCAGCTACAGTTAGTACTGTTAATAAATGTTGCACACAATAGCGAAATAGTGAGTTAGGTAATATCTGTTAATTCATTCTTTCATACAAGTGACAGATTTGTTAAGCTTAGTAATAATAAAGGTCGTATAAATTTTGTATAAGTAGGTACATAAGAAGGATTAAGAAAGGAGTTGCAAGTTTTCACAAAAGAACTAGCGTAGATATGTATAGTTGGAGCACTCACGTCAAATTTGACGAGTTTGTTAGTAACAAGGTCCTCTCTTGGACTGTCCTGTCCAGAAGGTGTTAGAATGAGAGAGCTGATAGCGCTCCTGTCGTCGTCATCCCCGTCGAGTATCGAGGACATGTCATCTCCTCGCTCGACGCCTCTCAGGCACCTGATGCAAAGCTGTCCTTGTCTGCAATACAAAACAGGTTCAATCAGGTTAACGAGAAACTGAAACTCTGATTAGCATAGGTACTGTAAGACTTTGTACTTGTCATGCTGTTGTTGCTCTAATCGGAACTGATAGACAATAGCCATTGTCTCACGGCGTAATGTTACGAATGAATTTATATCAGTCATCCGATCCATTGTAGTCCGTTTCACAAGTGTAAACCGATTAAAATTTTGTAGCAAATATTTATTATTCTTGTTAGATCATAAATCTCTGTTGTCATATTGTGTAATAGTGCAATTAGCTGTTATGATTTTGAAACTTTAATAACCGCCCTGTCTATGAATCTGTCTATCCTAATTTTAAGTCTTCCACGTTTGGGTACCTGTAGATTTTCCAAATTAAAAATGTAGATTAGCCCCCATTTATGCTTACTTTTAATAAAAAAAAAATATTGCACTCACCTGACTTCCTCAAGGATAGATAATTCCTCGTGCATTGATTTGGGTTCATCTTCTCTCTGATGCCAGTTTCTTAATTGATCGTGTAGTCTGTTGTTCTCTTGGACCATCGAAGCCAGTTGTTCTTCGAGTTCCGTTACTCGCCTTTGTTCTTGTGCAAAGGCGACTTTGCTTTCCCTCAATTCATCGCTTAGCCTTAGTAAGTCTTCATCCTCTTTAGTCAGTTCTGGGAGGGGCGCTATGGTTTTGAGGGGAGTACTGGTCACTTCAGGTTTTTTCGAGTTTGGTGTGGTTGGTTCCAGTTTCTTATCTTTTTCTTTGGGTTTTTCGGTCTCTGGCTTCCGTTCCGCTCTTCGTCTGGCGATTTCCAGCTGTGCGTTTAAATCGTCAACAGTCTTTTGTAGTTCTTCGCATCTGCTCTCCAACGTCTCGATGTTGGCGCATAATCTGTAATTGTTATAACGAATCATTAGGAAAAAAATGTTTGTACTAGTTTTATTAAAGCTTTTAACTGTTATTTATGTTCATTAATTTGTCCGCAAAATTGTGAGAAAAATATTTCAGCAAACAATGGCAACAATGGGAAAAAAACATGAAAGTCGATTGTTGAGCTAAACACATGATGACTTAGTTATATAGATAATTACTTATGCCGTGGTAATGAATTCTCGACCTCACTGATGTTTATTCTAGTCTAGACCCTGACTTAAGCATATAAACGATACTTAGTTGATCTCAGACAATGTTTTATTTCGTAATTGCTCTTAAACGTTTCCATAGCGGATTTTGACCTGAAGGCCAGTAGTCAGTGATAATGGAAGCTGTAATGGTTTCTCTTTGAAGCATTTATCTCTATTTAGATACATACCTACTTAATTTTTTAGGGTAATATTACTTAATTAAAAAGAACGTCACACAAAAGTTCGCCTTATAAAATATGAAAGAAAGAACATAAATAAAATAATAATATTTTAAATCTGTTCGCATTACCGGAGCATAGCATTAACGACATCATAGAAGAGGCACTCTTGTCACTATTGGTCGAAAAACAATCTAGAGATATAGCCTACTATTATTATAAGTAATAAAGTAGTATCGAAAATTTTTATAATTTTCCCAGGAAAGAAAATCCGGAAATTAGGAAATAATAAACTATCTTTTGATTAAAATATAATTATTTATTAACGTCCAATGTATTAATAAATTACAAAAGGTATAGTGGATATGAGAATTAGAGCGTTATGCATGCCTTATTCACGTCAACAGCGGGCAGTATTATTAAGATTACCTAAACAATACTAACCGTTTAATATTTTTAACAAGACCTATTTCGAACCAAAATGTCCTATAATAAAGTTTGAATCATCTCAATCGGTCCAGCCTTATACGGGTATTTTTTGTCAGTTTGCTCATTGATAATACTTAAAAATATATATAATATAATGCGACGATTTGAAAACCTCCTCGTTTTTAGAAGTCAATAAAACCAAATTAACACACTGATACGATACACTGTTCTATAAAAAGTATGCAGTCTTCAGGTACCGTAAAATAATGCCAAAGACTAATATGGCTCTCTCGATGTGCAACATATATCCTTTCTTTAATATATAAAAGCATAAAATAAGCTTCGTTTAAAGGAAAAGCTGTGTTAGTGTATTGTAAGCCATTGTAAAGGTCAAAGATGTGCTTTACGAAGTGACAACTAATGTATACAGCGAGGTTGGCCTACTTTCAGACTGTATCTAAAGTCGCGTCGTCGCGTCGGCACCCATCACTGGCATTGTTAAAAGCCATTTCACTAAGTTCCATTTCTTTGAGTAGGTATTTATTGTGGAACGTAAGTTCTTGGTACTTATCCAGAAGCGCAGACAAATCCATAAATTTGACTATAACAGAATTAACAGGAAAAATTAAGAGAATTCATCAGAATATTCAGTTATAGACCTTTGGCGTCGTTGCCAGCTGGAACGCAGTCCAGGATTTAAGAAATATTTAAGCCCTATTAAATGTTGTGCTGTAGCTCTACAGTCCTAGTTCTATCTACACGTTATCCGTGATGTGAGCGACAAGTATTAAACATCTTGAGGAACTCTATGGCACAGTTAGTAGCAATTGTGGAGGTTATGTAAGCAATTTACTAACGTACCTATTTACTAACTCTGGCCATCAGAAGGGATCGTCCCGGATGCATCTGTGCTCCAGTAGCGAGGATTTTTTTATTGGAGACAAATGTGTCGTTAAGGTCGAATGAGAAACTTGGTGAAAAGCTGTATGGCAACGCTTTGGGACGTGTCATAATCTTATGCAGTATTGCTGCATAAGCGTGGCACAGGCGGTTACCCTTATATGCGGTCTTTAGTGGGAGTGTTCTGTGGCAAATGATGATGTGCATTTTTTATGTTAAAAGGGTGGCAAACAAGCCGCCTGGATCCTTACTTTCCGACAGAAACACAAGACCACCAAAAGATAGTGTTATTTTACTGTGGTAGGCTGTAAGGGGAAGGTTACTTCCTCTGAGGGCCGCTACTATCCGGGATACATTAAAAGAGGCGTAAAGAAGCAATGTGCAGGCCTACAAGGTAAGGATGGCTGGTGTGGAACACTGATGTACCAGCTATCTTCGCGTCTGGATCGTCTCCACCGTTACTTAACATCAGGTGGAATGGCGTCATTTGTCGAACCTAGTTATAAAAAAGCGCTAGGATAATCCCCTATACTCTATTCCCTAATAAATGTACTTTACTTACGTTTTAATGTGTTTCTTTTCGGCGGCATGGTCGACCGCGAGCCGGTGGTTGGCGCGCTCCAAGTCCTGGATGCTCACCTCCAGCTGCTCGTAGATCCTCAGTCTTGAGTCGTTCACCTCGCGGAGCGCTACGGTTTGTTTCGTTAAGTACTGAAATTAAAGATTGATCTCGGTTATACGTCGATATTTGATAGCAGACTAGGAAGGTAGGTCTTTCATAATGTGTAGCTATATTATTCTCATGATAAAAAGGTGGCAAACTTGAATATGGCCTGTTTGATGGCAAATAGAGTTAATAGGCTGTCTAAAGTATAGACGAAGGTACATGATAGGTAAGTAACTATATTATCACCCAGTGCATGTATGGAGCTCCGAAAACTCGCTGCAGGAACGTAATATTAAGGAAAATTGAGTTCTGTAAGGATGAAGTTGCTCCCTAGGCTGGCGTTAAGTCATTATTACATAAGTTAAATTCATATATATATATATATATATATATATATATGTAAATTTTGTAATCGACTCATACAAGCATACTTACCAAAGACATTTGTAAGGTATTTAAACGGCATACCTATTTAAACATCTTATTACAAATAAATAAATTCAAATTGACACCAGTATGGTGCGTGTTAAATAAAATTATACCCCTATGTATGACTTCATTAGCTAATAACAATCACAACTACAGAATTATAGTCATTCGTCATGTTTTACCCCTTACTCGGTTCTGGTGAATCAAGGTAACTAAAAAATATCGCATTTGGAAACAATTTTTGTGGTTCAAGAGGCGGGCTGTATTCCGGTTTTGCCAGCCAGCGAGTAAACTGAAGTTTTGGTGTACTTTTTTGCAGTTGTTAGAACAACCCGCATCGAAACTATAAGTTGATTGGGCACTCCACAGCAATTATAATTAAGATAGGTATAAGATTGTATTAGTTGCAAATATTTTTTTAGCTCATTATTGATCAGACAGATTTAGAGGATCTGGGTTCGAATTTTTGTGTGGGTATTTAAAAATAATGTGTATCTGTATCATATATGTGAATGTGTATCACGTGTCATATATCCTGTTAGTATGGTTATCTTTATACTTAATTTAGTTTCTATGGAAAAAGCTTGTTCTATGGTTTGGGACCTTAGATTGAAACAAAAAGGGAAGATACGGTACGCTCATACTAGCATCAAATAAAGTATGCTTCGACTCGAGTACATAAGTAACTCACACGCACGCACACTTCTGTAAATAAACATTCAATCGAGCGAGTGAGACATAACTGCAGTGCTACCTATTCTGTAAAATTTTCACCGATATGGATCTGCGGCGCAGATTCTGCGCCGTTCCGATATAAATTCGCGTGAAAATTTTACAGAATAAATAGCACTGCTGTATCTACGCTTCAACACAGCGCGAGCGAAACGGCGAGTCCGCGTCGCTTGGCCTGGCGAGTGCATTTTCTTTTTTTCTCTCTACAAACGGCTGAGCTGTATTGTTGTTCTTTTCTTAATAACAAATGGCGAAAAAGTAAATAATATTCATGACATACCGTGATTTTTGGGGGAAAAAATGTTTGTTCATAGTTTTACGAAGGAAAAGTGTTACCGTGGATAGCATCGAAGGTATTCTTTTATCTTCATTACACAGAAAACACGCAATATTGTAATAATAGAGTGCACATTCAGCGTGTTTGAATGTCCAGTTATGACTAAAGCGAATTGTGGTCATGCACCACAATTTAAGCGGATCACTTTTGAGCAGCGGGTGCCGTCTCTTCCTTTTTTTGTTTTATTCTAAGTTTGGGACTAAAAATATTGTGAGTTGTCCGGAGTTTATTCAAAAAGGTATAATTAAATAATTTCACTGCAAACGACCTCCAAATGGATCGCGCAGTTCGTTAGCAGTTTCTGTGCAGTTATGTTCGAATTTTCGTCGCAGTTTGTGCAATCAACTGTATCAGAACTACAAACTTATTTTTTACAGTCTGTGCGAAGTTCAATGAGAATCAATATGAATTTCAGATGCAGACCATTAGTTATTTCAGATACTTACTTCGATTTCCTGTGTTTGATCTTCGATGACATTCTGATGTTGTCGTAGAGCTGTTTCAAGTTCCTTGTTTCTCTCCAAGAGGGTCTTCCCGAGCTCGGCTGCTAACTGCAAATCTGCAACAATAAATAATATTTTCATTTTATTACAGCCAGGGACATGGATCAACGTCACTTGATGTTAAGTATGAATGGCTGTGATATGAAGATTTCTCCGTGGAGCTTTGGCAACAGTAGTAACTTTGTATTTACTGTAGGAATAAACTTTAGTATAATGTTGTTTGGCTGATCACCCTCGGTCACAGCTGATTTTCCGCTCAAGTTGGGGCGACCCTCTGAGGAGACAACCTTACACAGTGAACACAGTGAAATAACAGTAAGGTGGTGTTGTTGGTGTTTCTGTGAGTTGATTAAGTTCTAGTGCTCTACGCTCTAGTATCTTTTTTAGAAGAAAATATAATAGTGGAGGCTAATAAAGTGGATACTTTCCTGTGTTTGAAACACTTTGGTTAATGTTCTATTTCTAATAAAAAACATTATCGTTAGCCGCTGACGATATTGTTCCGCCTAGAAACAATGGAAGTAGATCGTCAAGTTTAAATGAGTTGAAAACGTGAGACGATAGCACCGCGCAGCTCAGATGGAATAAAAACTGAGTAATTACTCGAAATACCATCGGCGCGAGAGTTCCGACTCAGTTGCGACAGCCATGGACACTCAATTGACCGCACTCTGGCGCAACTGCGTTATACCCTACAAACACGAGACTCAACAATCTTCTTAACAGTGCACGACACATTGCTCGGTTTATTACTATAAAAGTACCTGTGACTCGAACGAAAAAACCATTGCACCTCGAGAGTAGAACTGAATTCGTGAAAGGTGCGAGCGAGTGCCTACCTAACCTTGTCATGTCAAGCAGAGAACAAAAACGTTAAATTATTAACTATAATTTTGAGGCCAATGACTATGAAGGCGTTGTGGTATAAGATGAAAGTTTCAATAACTGCTGCAAAGTAAAAATTTAAATTTATCGTTTATCAATGAGTAATGATTAACTTTTTTTTCTTCGTCTATCACGTTTTTTATTTACATGATCAAAATATTACAGATATATACATTGATTTTAAATGTCGCATGACGTCACGTCTTGGTACAATTTTTACTTAGAAGTGACGCTACGCATGAGGCCCCACCCCCAAACTTTGGCGCGCGTTATCTTTGTAATTTTTTGGTTAATTGACAAAGACTCCATAAGTGTCCATTATTTTCTGGTAATATAACTGAAGGACTAAATATTACGTTTAATTTATCCCGTCACGATCCCCATATTGAATGTGTGTAATTCATACTATTAATTAATACACAGTAGGTAACTCGAAAATATTGTCTTCTTTTAGTCGCTACCAGAAGGAAATAATACATTAAAAATCTTTTAAAACTGTGAATCGTTACCGTGTTCATATTTCAAGCATTCGTTACATTTGGATAGTAATTAAAAAAAGATTGCATGTAAATGTGTAATGAGATAAGTTGTAAGCTACAAAGTATTATTACAGAGGAAATATTTTTCGGTCCAAAAATCACGGTGTATTCTTAGCCCATTAAGCGCAGCGATCGCCGTTATTTTGAAAGAAGTTAATAAATACTTTTTACTTACACGACATTGTGTTTCATGTTCGCTGAAAGATTCAGATCAGAATGTGCGAATGCATGGACATACGACACGGTTATATATCGTAAAACATATTGCATTAAGACTAAATTGTAAATTTTAAGGTCATGGTTGTGTGTCTGTGCTACAGCTGTTTCGCTTACCTGCGTATATTATTTGAACTTAAACATAAGTATGTTTGATTTCAAATAGTTAAAACGAGCTTCGTCTAATAAAGGCAAATATTTATTGTTTAATGCAATAGCTAATCTCGTGATCAGGGTGTGGTCCTGTTTTGAAGAAATGGCGTTTATTTTAAAACAGATAAAATTAATGTTTGGAGAGATCACCTCAAATGCAGATCTCTGCATGTATAATGCAAAGACAAGTTTAATTACGTATTTTGATGTCTACTTAATGAAACTTGTTTTTTAGAACGCGATATTAAATTTCGTTATAGGGCTGTTTAATGAATGTTGATTGAATTATAAGTACTTAACGTCAGGGAAATTAGTTTTTAGGGTAAGCATGCTAGTTAGTAAAGTTTAATACCGCTTCAATCTGGCTTTTACTTGGTGTTGTAAGGTATATGAGTGATTTAACGATAAGAGGTAATGTGCACGACAATCATTTTCATTCACAAAACAGCTTTTTATTCTACGTTTAGGCAGTTTTTGCAATGAATCGCAGCATCCAATGATATATAGGTAATATGTGTTCAATCAATAAAATCCAACTTTTTCCCTTTGCTTTTCTATGAACTCAGAATCCAAAAATCCTACTTTTAAAGAACCACCTATATAATACCACCTCTGACAATATTATTACACGATGACGACTTCAACAGCAGCGGTATGGAATGGAATTCTGTACTAACTTACAGGTCGCGGCACGTAATTCTAGCGCTGAACAAAACGTGCAGAGGATAGTTGCGCATGGGTACAACTGGAGAACCAATCGGTGCAACGCACGCCCACCCGCGCACCTCTGTTTCCCCCCAAGACATCTTAATTTTTATTTCAGCGTAAAAAGTCTAACGGTCAGCGCTAAACTTTGTGCCGCGACTTATACTTAACTACCGTTATTTTATGAATTTGCAATTTATAGGTGTCTGTATTTTTATTAAATTTTAATATTTTAGACATTCAACTGTCAAATTCTAAGTTTTGTAGTTAAAAATGATCTAAATGTATTTTTTTTAATTGCTCGGAACATAACCTTAATTTCGCATATGGAATGTATCCACTAACTATCGGAGTTTTAAAAAGCGTTATGTACAGTTGTTAGGTATGCTTTCTATAGAAAAAAAAGTAAAGATGGACCATACAGCATTAGTTATGCCTCAATGGATAAAGAGAATAACTTAACTCCTGGATGCTGCTTACCAGCTATTATGCACAAAGTTATCAAACTTGCATTACATATCCCTGGCGATACTTGTTACATATCATTGCAATAAAGATATTATGGGTAAATACATAATTAAATATAGCTAATTAGGTAGAATACATGAAGCACAAAAATGTTTTGGTCAGGAAATTCAGTAAGTAGATAATAAAGAATTAGGGTTTTAAGAGGTAATTGAAATCGCATCGAACTTTACAATAGCTTTTTCAATTTGAAGTCTTAAAAAAATCACAACACGGTTTCAGAATATGAGGATAAGGATAAGATAATTTCATTATATTATATGAAATTTTTTTTTTATTATATTTAGTTCAGGCATCTGTCTAGTTAGGAGGTATATTATATATAATGCAGACGTTAAAACGATTGAAACTATACTGCTAAGCTGATATTACATAGTAATTGAATGAACACTTTCTCGCACGAATCATGATGATATTCAGATTACTGTGCTGATTTAACGATACAACTTTGTAATTATATTTCGTGTGACATGAATAAATGATTACTTAGTATCTGCGGCATAATTAATGTAATTCATAAAAAGAAATTGAGAAAATATTACTACTTTCCACTGCATTTAAACCTACATTGTATATCAAGTCATTTTATAGAGTCTCATCAAGCCTACCTGAGTATGGATTTCTTAAATACAAGCGGACAAAAATACTTTATTTCTATATAAATTGCAGACAAATTAAAAAAAAAATCTTTATAAGAATATATTATCTAACAAATGAATAAGCTAACATTCTTATTTAAATTTTTATATCCTCTCAAGATTAAATATTAATGATATTATTCTACCTTGTATGCTACATTCAAATTTAACATTTCTGTATATTCCTTGATTTTAAAGTCTTGGCAGTAGATGCGAGTTCGCGGTTGTATGTCTGCCATTCGTAGATTTTTTAGTTGATGATTTATCAGCGAAGCAATACGGTTTTCACAGCACTGTCTATAACAGCCACAGACTGAATAAAAGATTAGATTTTCCTTGATTGTGAATGGCTTTTATGTTTGTTTACCTACTTAAGCACAGACTTAAGTAATTGCATTAGGTATGTACTCTACCAAAGTACATAAGACCAGCCGCTGTCACGTTTCGTCTTCGCGTCTAGAGATCTTTTCGCGTCACGTTTTTGACGTAGATATGTAGAACTCACTTGCTTGTAAAGTGACAAAGCATATGTATCTAAGTAGCATATATAGGTAGGTTAAAAGTAGTTTTTTTTTATACGGAAAACATAATCATAAAATTATTTTCGCGTCATGTAACGTAAGCTAAGTATCTATGTTATTTAGCCATGTATGTATACGAAACAATTAATTGCTATTTTTTGGAAATGAGCATGTTAAAATCTAAACCAGAAATATGGGACGGAAAAGTGTATGAAACTTGGAACATAATATTTATATACCAATTTCCCTAATGTTTGTTTCCAAAGTTTACCCCAGCCTAGCCAAGTGTGAGCTAAGTACAAGCACGAAGGGTTCCTACCATAAAGAATATTTTGATTTAACACTTAAGCTGAGCTTTTCAGAAACAAATGCTCGGTCTTCTTCTTGGGAAAAGCGATTAACCGCCTAAATGTTCGTTAGGTACGTACTCAACTAGAGTATATTTTTTGCAACATGATAAAAGGATTCAAAAATCCTTTTTCTTCTTCGAAGAAAATGATTCGTATTTTTAGCAATTCACAACTTCCTCAAATATCAGAAGTCACATTACTTTTATAGTGTTACACAGACAGTTTAAGTTTCCGCATGCGATGTTGCTTAAAATGGTGATGCCTCAAGTCGTGAAAGTGTCTGTGAGTCGCGAACACAAGTGATGACTGCAATTATAATGCTCAGGTATTCATCCGCCGAGGTCTAAGGCCATCGAGGCAATATTCGCACGAGAAACTATCATGTTTTATTTAGCTGCCAGTTCCTATAATCTTCGTGGCGGTAAAGAAATTACATTATTCATGCCCATTGTTAACTTGACTGGTATTGTACTAACCTGTATAATATTTATTTTTACGTGTGTTGTCAATATCTAGTGAGAGTT